TTTCGGTCGTGCTGTACAGCGCACGAACGTGCGCTGTCCTGCGCAAGGACATGGCGATCATTTCGCCTGTCCTTTTGCAATCGTGCGCACTGTGCACGGTCGCAACAGTGCCACGCACACGCTCAAGCCCTGAGGGGCACGCGCAAGATCTTGACCCCACGCGCGGTCCTGATTCTCTCGCGATTCTCGCTTGACCAACGCGAGAAAAAACTCACAGCGAGAAACACTCGCTTTCGCTCATTAACAGTCATGAAAATTCGTGAACATTCATGAACTTTCATGAACACAAAAACTCAAACAAACACACGCAAAAATACATGAAAACTCATGAGCACACACGCAAACTCATGAACAATCGCGAACGCAGGAGAACTCATGGCAATCCGCGAACATCCGCGGAACCTCACGGACATTAATGAGCTTTCACGGAAACTCACGAACATTCATGAAATGCACTCACACACACAAATGCATGTAACTTATGAACCGCTAAGGCGATTCACAAACCGTAAACGCACAAATGTAAAGCACACAAATGCGCTCCTCACACTCCACAAATTACCTTAAAACAAAAAACTTTTATTTTCCTTTATCGTCGGCGAATAGGCGGTAGGTTGACGTGCAAACCACATTTTGCACTCAACAAACTCCCCCTCAACCTGCCGACTATTCGAACCCACAACCACCGTCAGTGGATTCGATAATTTTCTTCACAGCTTCCACCATTGGCATAGGGACCATATCACCCTTGTCAATCTGCTCCCCCTCGACCGTCTCTACCTTGTTGCCGATCCCAACTCCAGTTTTTGGGAAGGCACTCCTATGCTCCCCCACAATCACAGCTTCCTTCAAACTCAGCTTCATCTTGGGTTCTCCTTTCACCTTAAACCCATCAGCTACAAAGCTTGCAAAGTTAGGCAACATTGTCTTCTCCTTAGCAGCTTCAACCCTCGGTTGCACCATCCCATGAAGTTTCTGCTGCTTACGAGTGTCATCCTTGTGCACTCCCTTTTCCTTGTGCACAGCATCAACCTTGCCGTTACTCCCCCTAGTCCCAGCACCACTCTTCTCATCAGCCGCTGCTGCATTTCTCTTTTCAGCTGCTGCAAGTCGAGCGTTAACCTTGTGCAACTCTTGCACAAGCTTCTCCACGGTAAATTTCAGCTCCTTCACTTCCACTGAAGCACTTGCAACACACTTCCCTTTGCAACCGCAGCTCCCATTCTCCTTTTCAAGTACCATCTCATGCCATGGCATCACGGGAACATGCCACAACCCATCGTGCAGGTCCTTGTCTTCATGCAAGTCCCACAACACTCGATCACCGAGACTTCCCTTGAACGTTTCAGCTCCATTGGTGGCCGTGCACACACCTGCAAGTCCCATTTTTCTCAAGGAAATCAGGTTCCCCTTCAGCTCCGGCACCAAGAGCACGTCTTCCAAGACTATCGGCTTCCCGTCAGTTCCTTTGAAGGCTGCCTTGCCGACTCCAAGCGCATTCATCTTGTAACCGCATCCTGAGTTCATCTCAGTGATGCTCGTCTTCCCAACCTTGTCTAGCAGGTCCGCCCTTGGGGTCATGTGATAAGCCGCTCCGGAGTCAAGAATCCATGTGTTGAGAGGATGAGGCACTGCTCCCTCCTTGGCAGGTGCATTCTCACTCCCCTCGTTCCCTTGCACGTGGAAAAACTGTCCCGGTGCTCTCTCCCAATCATCTCCCCCGTCACTTGCGGTCTCTGCTACATACCCAACTCCATGAGGTTGGTTCCTAGCTCCGTCATTGTCTCCTTGTCCGGGGGTCCACCATTTCGGACGTTTCCAGCACTTCACCCAACTGTGCCCCGGCTTCTTGCAGTACCAACAAGCTCCCTTGAACTTGTGGTAGTCACCACGATCATCCTCGGCATCATCATCTTCTTCTTCACCACGCTTGTTGCTCGGCTTCTTATCATCACGCCTGCTTCTATAACGCCCGTGTTCACCTTCATCCCGACCTTTTCCCTTACGCCATCCGCTGCCTTGCACCCCGTAGCCACCGTCACCATCGTCACCGTGACTCAGCTGCCTCCTCCTAAAGTCTTCCTCCAAGATCTTGGTTCGCACCCACTCAAGCGTCCATGATTCCTGGTTTTGAGGCAGGCTTAACCCACTTGTGAACGGCATCCAAGTCTCGGGTAGCAGCGAGAACATTCGTAGACACTTCGTCTTCTCCGGGTAGGTGATGCCCGCAATTTGGAGCTTAGCGTATAGCTCCCTCATCTTGTCAAAGGCCAGCTGAATCGGCTCCCCTTCACTCAGGCGCAATGAAGCCAACTCACGCTCCAACATGAGCGTAGCAACCACCGAGGTTGGGGCGTGCAGCTCCTTCGGCACTTTCCAAGCTCGTGGCCCATTATCAGCTTCCCCCAGCAGATGCATCACATGTGCTCTCTGGTTGAGCTCCAACGTTTGCGATAGGAGGTAGTATCCGGCTGATGCACGCTCGTCCCACTCCCCTTGCAGGACCGGGTCGGTCGGCCTCTCCTCCTCGCCAATCATTATCTTCAACAACCCAACTTGACGGAAGTACAGCTGCATTTTCCACGCCCAATCGTCGTACCCATTGCCGTTGAACTTGTCGACGGTGAAGTTCTTAAGCACCTCTCTCAATAGTGAGCCTTGGCTGGTCCGCACTCCCCTTGGCGCTGAACCTCCAGTATCTTGGCTTCCACTATTAGCACGTGCAAGTGAACCTTCCGTTCCGCCCGACTCCATGGTGTTCTAACGGCAAGAAGTCCAAAAAGGACTAAGAACCAGCTCTGATACCACGTATTGACAGCTATTTGGGACCTAGAAGCTCTAACCACACCTTTAATAAACGCTAGATAGTCCTCACGGGGTCACTTCCAAGGGTCCTTGGGTGCCTGGTAAAACCAGCCCCTATCCAAGGGTCCGTGTTTGTTGAAGGAGTTTTCAAGCGTGAAAGCAATCGTGTGCACTAGAGCACTCCCAAGCACAATTGCGGAAGCAATAACGATTGATTGGCTCGTATGCAGAAATTTCTCCTCGCGTCAATACGTCGATAGAGAAAATCTTCACTCCAAAAAGTTGATTACAATGAAACACAAGCACACATTTATAGAACTACTAATGCACGAGCTAAAGCAAACTCAAGGCGAACATAAAACAGCTATTAAACTGGAATAGATGACTTCGCCATGTTGTCTTGGTAAAACGGTTGTCAAACTTCAGCTGCATTTGACTTGATCCGCTTCCTTAGAATAACTGATTTCAAATGACACTTCATCCAAACGCCCCTGCTGACTCCCCTCTCAAGCACTCATGAAATCCCGTTAACATTCATGAAGCCTCGTGTGGGAAAACCGTTTTCCCGTTGCAAAACGGAATTTACCGTTTTGTACCTTGTCGAAATGATCACGCAATGCAGCGTGACTTTCTAGCGAAGTATCATGTTCGCCACGTTATAAAAGTCAAAGCTCGAGATTCAGTTATTCAACTAAAATCTCGAGTCAATCCCGAGCACCCTTTGGGATTCCTCAGCACCCCCCGAAACCCACGCGCACCCCTGCGGGGTGCAATCATGCACGACCGACTTTTCGGTCGTGCTGTACAGCGCACGAACGTGCGCTGTCCTGCGCAAGGACATGGCGATCATTTCGCCTGTCCTTTTGCAATCGTGCGCTCTGTGCACGGTCGCAACAGTGCCACGCACACGCTCAAGCCCTGAGGGGCACGCGCGAGATCTTGACCCCACGCGCGGTCCTGATTCTCTCGCGATTCTCGCTTGACTAGCGCGAGAACAATCTCACAGCGAGAAACACTCGCTTTTGCTCATTAACAGTCATGAAAATTCGTGAACATTCATGAACTTTCATGAACACGGAAACTCAAACAAACACACGCAAAAATACATGAAAACTCATGAGCACACACGCAAACTCATGAACAATCGCGAACGCAGGAGAACTCATGGAAATCCGCGAACATCCGCGGAACCTCACGAACATTAATGAGCTTTCACGGAAACTCATGAACATTCATGAAATGCACTCACACACACAAATGCATGTAACTTATGAACCGCTAAGGCGATTCACAAACCGTAAACGCACAAATGTAAAGCACACAAATGCGCTCCTCATACTCCACAAATTACCTTAAAACAAAAAACTCTCATTTTCCTTTATCGTCGGCGAATAGGCGGTAGGTTGATGTGCAAACCACATTTTGCACTCAACAAATGGTGCCATCAACCCTAATCCGTTGAGTTATTCCCAGTCTGCATCATTTTTCCCAATGGGTTTATTTTAAAATTTTACGCAATTCGCGCTTGATACAAATTTTAATGGGTTGAGTATTCAATGTTTTTTCTGTCTATTTTTAGGTAGCACATCGACACATTTTTCAATGTTATTCTTAGGTAGCACCTCGACACATTTTTTGTGTGTATATTTGAGTTTGGTAATTGCGTTCTATTTTTGTCACATTTTGGGGGTGTTATTAGCGTAAAATGTGTGATTGAAAAGCGAGCACCAAGCAGCGATGAGAAATCGAGGTTGAGTACCGATGCAAAACGTCTCTGGCATAATTTGAGTATCAATGAAGTTGGCCGCTTTAGCGAGGCTTGGTTGGAATTGGCCGTTAAAACTTGTCGCATGAACGTTGAATGCAAAAGCATGTGATTGGTTGACCCAAATCTATCATGTTTTTCGCCCTAGGCGACTCTGTCGCCAGGCACGTGTGGTGAGTGTGACCAGAATCGAATGCTGCCACGCTGGACCAATGTTGTTGCACCGACCACAGCAATCGATGGGACCCCATCTCAGGAACGCCATCTGACCTGACATCCCAAATCACCCAGGGCTCAGATTCTGATGTGCATGCTTGCATTCCCACTTAGAGCACGCAGCGCGCGCATTTCCCGCTGTTGATGGAGATGCTCCTCCCGCCTTCCCTCTCGTCGTCTAGCGGTCTCACTCGATTCTCCTCCCTCGCACAGTTCACCCCGTTGCACGCTTTCTCCGCCACTCGCGCGCCCGTATTCCCTCGCGCGCATTTCCCCGTGATTTTCCGCCCCACTCCGTGCGCGTCCTTGCGCGCTCTGAGCACCCCGCGCCAAGCTCCCGCTCCGCAACACGCTCTCTCTCCCGACAGCTTCCGATCGTGCCTCCGTGCGCCCGCTTCCCCTGGCGCTCTCTTCCGCTGCACCCCCGCAGCAAGCGGAGGCTGGCGCCGGTGGCGGACGGATGCACGCGGGGGGACCCACCAGGCAGCGGCGTGCGCGGATGGGGCAAGGGGGATTGCGGAAGGGCTGGCGGAGCGGAACGGTGGCGCGACCAGTAATGATCGTAGCTGGGCGCCGCCGCGGCTGAGGTGAGAGCGGGGCGGGGAAAAGGTGGAGGGGGAAAGAGAGGGGGGGAAGCCCCAGTTGGTTGGCGGGCTGGCTGCACGAAGCAATGTAGCAGCGGAGAGTGGCATGTGCGCTGGCATTTGCGCTGGCTGCCAGGGATTGGCGCAACTTAGGGCGCGGGGCGGCGATTGAGGGGCATACTCGGCCGACCGAGGCGACAGGCACAGGGGCGGGCATTGTGAAAGTCACGTGTCTGGCCTTCGCGAGAGAGTTTGGTGGAACGACTGGAAGCATGGCAGCATGGCTTGACGATCAAAGTCAGGGTTTCCCTGCCCCATCGCCCCTGCCCTCTCCCCCCCCTGGCAGCATGGCGCCCATGATGGACTCTACGAATTGCCACTGCCACCAGTTTTGGCCCCTCACACATAGGTCGTCCCTCTCCCCCCTCCACCGCCCGTTTCCCTTTCCCCCCTGGCAGCGTGGCGCTCATGATGGACTGGACGGACTGCCACTACCGGCAGCCCTTTCTTGAGTCTCCTCGTAGACTAACCTGTTATTTGATGCTATCATTTGCATTCACATCTGTCTGCCTCCCATTATATGTTCGTGCGTTGCATGCGTGGTGTGAGCGTGTACAAGAATTTGTGTTTTCTGTGGTTTGGACTTTCTGAGTGTGTGTGTATGTTATTTGGCCTGAGCAGATATCTGAAGTGACTCCTCTGCTCAAGAGCTTTCCGACGAACCAAGAATCGTCGCGATCGGAGCAAGAACGAGGAAGTTATGATCGTTCAAAGATTTGTTTATAATGCGACGACTTTGGGAAGTTGTGAAGTGACTCAATATGGGGTACAGAATTTTGGGGGTTGGGAAATTCGTCCCCATCACTGTAGATGCTGCCAAGTGGTTAGGAGAAACCAAATTGGCCAACTTGGGTGAGGTGGATTGTGGAGGTTGGGAAATGGACAAAGGTCAAAGTGGGGTTCCTATAGGGAAGAGATTTGATGTGCTTATGGGGTTTCTTTGGTTGGGGACTCTCTTGGGACCTTCCCTCTCATCCTCCTCATCCCCTCCTACCTGGTTTCTAGCCACTCTAACTTTCTTGTGTGAATCTTGTTAGACTCTTGTGATTGAGTTAAATTCTTATGACAGCATACCCCCCTGTGCGCCAAAATTTATACGTTGAGAAATATTTCACCTTTCGATACGATTCAAATTGGGAATTGTAGCTACGTCCTAAAGCTACAACATATCCAAAATTGGTGAGGTTGTGACAGTGCGTTTTTCGTAGACGGCGTTTCTTGTGAAGTCGACAATTCTGTCCAGAATTTCAAGCCAACAATTTTGAGAAATTTAGGCACCTTATCTTCGTAGACTCCATCCTTAGTCTATAACAACAAGTGGTATCAGAGCGGATTAAGGACCTTGTGGAGAGTCTACTGAAGTGTGAAGACCCTCCTAGACCCACCATGGCCTGTGGGCGTGCCTAAGTGGAGTTCTAGAGGTTGAATGTGACTTCCGCTAAGGGGAAACTCTGCCAAAATTTCGTTGGCGCCGACACTTGTGAAAATATTGTGGGACTTCGTTGTGGACAGCAAAGGGGGGAGCTGAAACCTGTGATTGGAAGCAGAGGAGATGAGTCAAGGGAGTGGAGAAGCAGCTGAGAAGAGGAATGAACCGCCACCATCCAAGATCGAAGCTTTGGATGGCTCCAATTATGAGGAATGGAGCGGGCGGATGAGGAGCGCTTTCAAGCGCTACAAGCTGCTGAAAATTGCGATGGGGGAAGAGAAGATGCCGGAGGAAGGAGATGCCCGCGATCGATGGATTGAGAAGAGCGCGGTACTGTACGACCTCATCCTCCAGTCGGTCAACAACGACACGTTCCAGCACATCAAAGATTTGGTGGAGCTCGATGACTCGGGACCGAAGGCGTGGAAGCTACTACGTGACGTGATTCAACCCAACACGCTGCCGATGGTGATTGTGCTGGAGAAGGAGTTGGCTGCCCTCTCCATGCGACCGGGTGATGATATGAAGCCGGTTCTTGATAAGATCAAGGACACCTATGCGAGGATGGCAGCGGCGGGCAACAAGGTGTCCCAGATGCAGCAGTGCCTTAAGATCATCTCGGTGCTTGACAACACATAGGACAACCTCATCCCCACCCTCAACACTCAGCAGGACCAGTGGACACCTGAGTGGCTACGACAGCAAATTCTGCAGGAGGATTTCCGCAGGCGCCACAAAAGAGGTGGTGCTGCCAACAAAACTGCTGAGGGGTATGGAGCTGCAGGTGGCAGCAGAGGAAGAGGGGTTGGGAGAGGCCGAGGCCGTGGGAGAGGCTTTGGCTGAGGGAGTGGCCGAGGTGACTACAATGAGGGGCATGGGAGCTCTGGTGGCAGGGGGAGCACCCGAATGGAGGGTGCGTGCTGGTGCTGCAAGAAGGCTAGACACCCGTAGTTCAAGTGTTTCAGCCGGCCTGAGGGATGGGCGCCTCCAGGCATGAAGCCGCCAAGTGGTGAAAGTGCACAAGGTGGCGGTGTGCAAGGTTCAGGTGCACAAGGTGATGGTGGAAGGGGTACCTCCGAGACTCCACAGAGCACAGAAGGAGGATGGGGTACCTCCGAGGCTCCACAGAGCACAGAAGGAGGAAGGGGTACCTCCGAGGCTCCACAGAGCACAGAAGGAGGAAGGGGTACCTCCGAGGCTCCACAGAGCAAAGAAGGAGGGAGGGGTACCTCCGAGGCTTCACAGAGCATAGAAGGAGGAAGGGGTACCTCCGAGGCTCCACAGAGCACAGAAGGAGGAAGGGGTACCTTCGAGGCTCTGCATGGTGACAGTGCGATGGTGACATGACACGTTGGGGAGGCAGAGGCGGGTCACATGTAGCACACATATAGCCCACACACATAGCCCACAAACGTAGCAAACCACATAGCACACACATACCACACACACACATCATGGGACACACATAGCGCACACATAGGGCACACATAGAGCACATATAGGACACACATAGAGCACACATCACCCACACACGTACAAGCTAACGACTTGACTCGAGAGGTCGCAGACGATGCCCGTCCAGCTGTCCACTGCGGGGGCGTTGCCAACGAGAGTGCAGGGCGAGTCCACCGCCTAGCTGCTCGCACTCACGCCCAGCTCCGCCTTCAGTGCCAGCAGCGCCAGCGCTGGGGGGAGCAGGGGGAGGAGCAAGGGGGCGGAGCAGGAGTATGCCATGGGGACAGAGAGGGTGGATCAGTGGGGAGAGTAGAAGGCGGGATGGGAGGGAGGAACAGAAGGATGGACGGTATAGGCGAAGAGGGTGAGAGTGTGGGAGAGGGTGAGGGTGAAGTGGGGCAGACACGGGGCGTGGGTGTATAGAGCAAAGATCTCGAAGCGAGGCAAATCAGGGTTGGGTGGGTAGAGCACTGATCTCGGTTTGAGTGAGAAGAAGACACTCGGCATGAGCCCAAGCTGTCATGGCATGAGGAGAAGGCCAGTCAGCACAGTACTGATCCTGGCACACACGTGATTTTGTTGCTGCTGCAGAATCTGATACTTTCAATGTCACAGACTGCTGATACATTCATACCCACCCGTGCACTCCCACTCATCACAGTAGTGGCTTTGATTTTTGAGGTGCTAAAAACGTGTTGCATCTCAAACCGTCCCACTCACCGGAGTTATCATCCACTGGAACGGCCGGCAGCGCTGCGAGGGTGGCATTCGGGAGAGCAGGTGGTGCCCGCACAGAAAGGCGGGGTGCCTGTAGCAGAACCACAGAAGGCACAGTCAGTGGCACGCTGAGCCACACCGGCATTGTTGGTGCAGGAGCCCGGCGAGGAGAGGCAGTTGCTGCGGATGTCGCACAGCTGGAAGGGCTGCGTGGGGAAGGCGCCCGCCAGGAGGTTGCTGGCGATGGCCAGCACCTGCAGCTGCGTGGCCATGGCTGGCAGCGTGCCCGTCAGGTAGTTCGCTCCCAGCCGGCTGTAAGGAGGGGAGGGGAAGGACGGGGTGGAGAGGAATGGGAGGAGGAGCGGCATTGAAGGCAATGGGCATGGAAATGGGCATGGGCATGAGCATGGCATGGCCATGGGCATGGACCTGGGCGTGGGCATGGCATAGCAAAGGCATGGGCATGGCCATGGCAGAACTTACAGTTCTGTGAGTTTAGGCATGTTGACCAGAGCCGATGGGATACTGTCAAAGAGGTAGTTGGAGTTGAGGGTCCTGGAAATGAGAGCAGATGAGAAGCACATAGGGAAGATAGTTAATAGAGTGAGCAATGGTGAGGACCCATGATGGGCTATGATGGGTCAGCTTGAGGCACAAGACCGTGACCCCTGCTCCCTCTTCTCTACCAACAGTTGACTCAACACTTGGTGATGCGCCCGTCTAATGCATAGAAGCAACGGCAGGTCGAACTTGGGCTGGAGAATTCAAGAACCTGTAACAGCGTGACAGGTCCCTGTGGCTCATGTGGAAGTAAGCAACGTTGGGTGCTGCCCCCCTGGTAACGTTTCACTCTCAGAGAGGCCACACAGGAGATACGTTTGGGAGTTTTCAAAAGTCAATGCACACAGTGGCCATGCTGGTGAGTTTCTTGGGAATTCTTGAGAGGTCAGCTCACAGTATGGCCATGGTGGTGAGAGGCGCCATGTTGGAAACGAACTTGGAGAGCTGACCAGAGAAGAGATTGTAGGACAGATCGCTGCGATGCGGATGGGAGAGGAGGAGAAAAGGAAGGATGGAGAGGAGGATCAAGAGAAGGAGGGAGGGGAGGGGCGAGATGTGGGAAGTATCGGGTCGAGCAAGGGTTGGAACAAAGGCTGGATCGGTAAGAGTTGGATGGACCCAGCTGTGCAGGTAAGAACCTGAGGCAAAGAGTTCTGTTAGAAATAGGCTGTCAACACTTTGTGTACTCTATTTTATATGGTTTAGGTTATTTGCGGGTTGGGTGTAGATTTGTAATCCCAACCCTATCTGGTTGGGATTCCCTCGTAATCCTGCAAATCTGCCAACTCACCAATTGGAGATTTGCTAGGATTCCCACCCCCTCCTTTCCCTAGCTTTGCTCCATCCACCTTGTTTGTACTCAAGGCTTAGTGCCTTCTTGATCAATCAATCAGTTCAGCTCCAATTCTATCAAGTTCAAGGTTCTGAAGTACATACGAAATAGGCAAAAGATGGATGGGTAGGGAATTGGGGGCAACCCCTAATGTGATCGGCTGAAATCTTCAATTGGTGGGTTGGAGATTCTGGTGGATCACATTTGAAAAGGGTTGAAATGTTGGTGTAACACCCAACCCAAACAGACTACGACAACACAACACTAGTTTATTATAAGAACAAGTGCAGAAGTTAGGGCAGGGCAGAACGGACGAGTAGGCAAAATTTCAACGGTGGGCCCTTTTAAAAACAAGGTCCTAAGGTCTAGGAACGGCCTAGACTCTGAAACCATGTTAGAAGCTAGTGAGAAGGATGATCGATTAGGTAAGGGGGGGGATACAAGAGTGTCGAGAAATGTTGTGTACTCTCTAAGGATAACCCCAACATAGCCTAGAAGATAGAAAGCATATAATGTTTTGACACCAACTTGTCTCCCTATGTCTTTATTATTCTCCAGTATGTATGCTTCCTCGCGTTGTCGGCGCCCGTGCGCACCAGGTTTGTTGCCTGGAAATTCTCCTCCGCCGATCTCTTTGTTAACAGTATATTCCGCCACTCCACTGGTACCGCCTGAAAAGCCTTTAGCGCCCGCCTGGCTGGGATTTCCCCCCCAGTTCCCTGCTTAGCCTCTGAAGTTTTTTTACTTCCACTGTCCCATCCGGTTTTGTAGTGAGCAGGTCCCCGAGCTTCATTCCCTTCAGACATTCCGACCCTCTTTGCTCTCCAAAAGGACTCACCCTGAAGAAAATGCGCCGGTTGAACCAGAGATGCTCCTGCTCCACTTCCCATCTGGTCCCTGGTTCCGCGAGCAGCGTCAGTAATTCCTCTTCCAAAGAATCTGCAGCACCTCTCTCCAGGAGCATGTTTACCTAGAAAGGCCACTTTACGTAATAAAAAACACAAGCCATTATAGATACCGGTATATCCTAGTATTATAGCAGACCTGAATGTAACTCTGTTGATGCACGAGAGAACATTCTGACCAGTTTTCGTTGTAATGTATTTAGACCGCATTATTTTTTCCTCGGTGATTTTTTTTTTTTTTTTTTTTCGAATGAACTTTGGGGGAAACAAACCATAGCTAAACCTAGGGGTCTCCAGTTTAGGAAACAAACCCGTATTGAACCTAAACCGAGCTTGAAATGAAGTACGATGAAAACTAGCCAAAATGAAATGTAAGGACAGTACATAGCAGAAACAAAAAAGCATACTCCAACAGTTTACAGAAAAAAAAAGTAATCGAACTGGTTCGTGACCCTACTAGAGTGAATTTAGAATCACAGAAGTGGCTAAGGTAAGGACGCAACGGTACACTGTAGCGGCATATTGGAATCTAAAAGGTCTTAGCTAGCCATGTACTCTGAAGGGGTACATTCCCTTTAGGGCTAATCTAGTTATCGCCATCAGAGGCGCGGCTTGGTAACACCTTGGCTGCACGTAGAGTGCATCAACCCTGCTAACGAATGCAGAGGTAGCCGAAGCAGTTGGATGCAGCAGGAGCACACTTCAGGCCCTGGCAGCGCCAGTCAAGGGGGCAGGCAACAGTTGCAGCTGCATCACACACAAGGTCTGTGATCCAGGGGCAGGGGAAAAGGAACAAGGGAGAAGACATGCAAAAAGGGGACAAATGGGAGAAGGACAGTCAGGCAAGTAGAAGCAGCAAATAAGAATCGAATACGGAAAAAGCAGCAAGAATTGATCATTCCTTTTTGGGCCAGCAGGTGTAATGTAAAATGGAGCACCACTCACCAACGCAAGCCATGGGAAGTACAGCAGCAGCGGCAGCATTCACGGTCTTGGCAGTGAACAGTGCAGCAGCATTGGGCGTGCACACCCCTGTGCCGCCGCACAGCATGCCCTGACCAGCCGCAGTGCCACAGATATCACACCCCGACGCTCGCTGTGCTGTGCCGCTCTGCTCGCTAGCGGTGTTGCAGGCGGCGGCGCCGGCAAAGCAGTTGGCAGCAGAGACGCAGGAGGTGGCGGAGTTGGCAGGGAAGTTGCCCGAGAGGAAGTTGTTTGAAAGGTCAATCGCCTTGAGTGATGCTGACACTGGTGGAACACGGTATGTCAGGTAATTGTACGCCATGCTCCTGGGGTGGTAAGGGGGATAGTGTGGGTGGTGTGGATAGAAAAGAAGGCGAATCGTGAGGAAAAAAGTAGGTCAGGGGATTTTTTTTGCATGCAGAACTAATTGGAAAACGAGTAGGTCAGGCTAATTTCAGTATTATGAAGATTATTAGGAAGAGTTGAGCCAATTAAGCAATGAACGAGTAGTAGGCGCAGGGCAGGGTGACATCACATGGAGCATCGTTTGCCGGCAAACAGATGGTGTAGCACATGGTTTAGTGGCATAGGGTAGGGCATGGGGCATGGAGGTATGGGGAATGGGGCATGGGGCATGGAAGATGGGGCATGGTGCGTGGGGCTCGGGGGCTCGGGGGCACGGGGGATGGGTGATGGGGCATGCGGCATGGGAAATGGGCACGGGGAATAAGGCACGGCACTGACAGGCGGGTGAGTTTGGTCATGGCAAGGAGAGGCGGGGGCAGCGAGCCCTTGAACCAGTTGTAGTCCAGCAGGCTGGAGGGTGATGCATGCAGAGGGGTGCAGAGGGTTGCAGAGGGGTGCAGAGGGTTGCAGAGGGGTGCACAGAGAGCAGAGGGGGCAGAGGGTGCAGTGGGTCATAGGGGCCAAAGTGGGACAGAGGGAACACGCGTAGGAGGGAGAAATAAAAAGGGACATAATTGGCAGGTGAGATTAGAGGAAAAAACTTATTGCTGTACACAGGGTTTGAAGCTCAAAGTAGAATGAATGGGTTGATTGTTGCTGAGTAGCTGGTAGATCGTCAAGTGACGTGTGAGCAACAGAGGACTGTGTGATGCTGGCAGGAAACGCATTGACTAGAATCGTTGAAACACCAGGGCTGCGAGGGTGGCAGGAGACTCACAGCACTGCCAGGTTGGTGAGGGTAGGAAGCCTCAGCGCGAAATCTTCAAGGCGTGCCCTGAACAGGTTTGACTGCAGGTTGCTGTGATTCGGGAAAGCACAACGGGGGCATGGGAAGAAAGGGGGAAGGATGGAGCGAAGGGCTAACAGATGGATATGGGGGGAGATATGTTTGGACACAAGTGGTTGGGATCCCAGATGCATTGGTGCGGGCAGGTAAATTGAGTCATGCATGCATAAGATTGGTTGCATGCATTGGCATGAGGTAAGTTACTATTAAAGTATTTTACGTGCATACAAGCTGGTTTTTAAGCTACTATACATGGCAATGGTATGCACGAGTGTGCTGACACGAATGTGGGAGCTTACATGCACTACTCTCACATGCTTGCGTGTGCTTGCATCTTTGTGTGTGCATGTGTGCACTCACAGGTAAGTAAGCGCTGTGAGTTTGGTGACATCAGCAGGGAGCACTCCGAACAGCTGCTGGGTGTTGAGAGTGCTGGCAGAAGAGTACAGGAAACACAAGACGGTGTCGGGGAAGGATCAGGGGGAAAAAGCAGAGGGGACAAATCGGGGTGGGGGCACAGGTAAGAAATCAGGGGGAAGGATACAGAAGATAGGCAAAGGAGCACCTGAGAAAACGGGGAGTCAAGACCAGGAACAAGTGGTAAAAGGGAAGGTGGTAAGGTCCCTTAGTTTGATTCCTAGTTCAGATATTACCACTCACTTTCTGTACGCCTCAGGGAACACTTACGTTCACTCTCTTCACATGGTTGCGAGCGTTTCAGGATTTGCAAAAAGTGCACGGACGCAACACATTCTAGGCTGTCAATACCTACTCCTTTGGTTGGAACGAACTCTTCAGCACAGCTAGGGCATATTTAACATGAAATGAATCAACCAAGTGCTCACATCTTGACGGGGTTGCCAGCTGAGTCACACTCCACACCCGTCAAGCTCCCACTCGCTACAGTGCCAGCTGTCCCTGCCAGCGTGCACACAGCACCTGCCGCCCACCCTGTGTGCGTCACTCCCAAGGCTGCCTTGATGCCCAGCAGCGCTGCCACTGTAAGTGGGGGAGGGAAATGATGGAAGGGGTGTGGATTGAATCGAGAAATCCGAGTGGGTAAGGGGAGTGAGGTTAAATTGGGAAGAAAGCGCGGAATGAGAAAGAAGAAAAGTGCAGCCATGCCATAAAGTGCAGGTTGGAAATTGAAAAGTGGGACGTGGCCCATGCTCTCCATGCTCTCCAATAAGTAAGATGACTTACTTGCAGTAGAGTTGACGGGGACAGCAGGCAGCAAGGAGCACGCCATTGGGAGTGCAGGGGTAGTGGGGCTGTTAAGCGTGGAGAGGGAAGCGAGGGAAGCAGCAGTGGGCTGGCAGGTGGACGCACCACCGCTGCCACACAACACCCCCGTGCCATCGGCACTGCCGCAGATACTGCACGTGGCTCTCTGAACAGTCCCTTTGCCTGCGTTCGCCGTGCAAGCGGCAGCACTCGAGAAACAATTGGTGCGTGCTGAGCAGAGCTGGAAGGAGCCTGTTAGGAAGGCTCCCACGAGGTAGTTGTTCTCCAGGTCAAGCTGCTTGAGAGTGGCGCTTGGAACAGGCACGCTCCTGGTGAGATAGTTGGAGCCCAGACTCCTGTGGGATGACGCACGAGGCAGGAAGAGGGGGATTTTGAGATAGATTAAGCAGCACACTCTTGGTTCCGAACACAAGATAAGCAGACTCTAGATGCATCATAGACTCAAGATAAGCAGCAGGATTTCAGTGAAATAGGTGCAGCCCAGAGTCGTGCGGGATGGTTGATGAAAGAGAGAGGGGGAAGGGGCGAGTTGGAGGAAGGAGGCTCGGTGGAGAGGGGGGAGGAAAGGGTAGAGTTGAGTACAGAGGAGAAGCGGAGACGGAGTAGGTGAGGTGGCATGTGCAGGCATAGCATGATATTTAACGACATGGCATGGCATGGCATGGCATGGCATGGCATGGCATGGCATGGCACACAGTGACAATCTCACAGCTTGAAGAGGCCCTTGAGACCGATAAGCGCCGAGGGGATGGGTCCAAACAGGTAGTTGTAGTGCAGATGACTGCACAGCACACAGGGAAGAGGAGGAGGAAAGGGGGAGGGGGGTGGTGAATCGGACGGAGTCGAGGGACTGAGGGTGATGGGAAAGGGGCAAGAGAAGGGTGATGGGCTCGACCCAGGTATCACATTTGAAACTTCTTTCTATAAAGTATTGCAGGCAGAGGGCCCATATGGGTGTGACTGTGAAGGCTGGTGAGTTGTGAAGTGCCTCACTAACTCAGGGAAGTAGACAGAGGGACACTCAAAATGCGGGAGCAAGAGAAGGGAAATAGGGAGAGATCGTGGGGACCATGATTGTGCGCGCTTAACCATCACCCTTACAAATACCGGGCATTCGCTTAACAACGGTGTAACTACAGATCACTCAAACCCCTACGGACACTGGGTGCTGTACACTGGACTGGACACTGGGTAACTAGCAGTTTACTGTAACATTTACATTTCGCTTGTACCCACTGTGCCTTGATTGAACGTACAGGTTCTCCAGCTTGGTAAGAGAGGTGAAGGGCGCTGTGAAAGCATCCAGGCGACCGGCCAAGAAGTTTGTGTGGAAGACCCTGGGGGGAAGCGAGAGGGGAGCATATGAGAGAAGGCACGGGAGGATGGGTCGGGGGAGGGCAGGAAAAGGGGAAGTGAGGAAAAGGGGAAGTGGGGAACACGGGAAGCCAGGAAATGGGGGAGAAAGGAAGGGGTAGACCATAAAGGACTGGGGATTGGCACCCTGACACTGGAGGGCGATGACTGTTGGATGAGGGGATGGGCGTGGAGATGAAAGAGGAGAGATGGGGATCCAGGCGCCGCAGATGGGGCTTCATTACACGACAGGCGAAGTGGAACAAGGAAACAGGTAGATGACCCATGGAGATCACCATGAGATGGACTCTGGGTTCAGGGTTAGCTGGTAGCCCCATGCATGGACCCAGAGTGACCCTTACAGAGCAGTGGGCTTACAGAGGCAGTGGGCTTACAGAGTGGTGAGCGCAGTGAGCTTGGAGATATCCCCATGCATGGACCCAGCCAGGTTGCGTGTGTTGAGGTTGATCTCCACCACAGAACCGGCAGCATTGCACAACACGCCTCCCAAGTCCCCAGGACCAGGGACGGAGATGCTGACCCCGACCGCAGTGCACTGGGAGTTCACTCCCCAGTCAGTGAGAGGCACTCCCAGCGCCACCTTGAGACTCCCAAGCACCGAAACTGGGGGGTGGGGGAGGGTGGGTGAGGGAGAGAGGGAGGACGGAGGAGAGTAGGGGTGGGGATAGGGGAGATGTTGAGGGGAGGAGGTGAGGGAGCAGGGCGAGTGTATGGATCAGAGGGCTTGGAACGACAAGCAGGACACAGAAGCGCAGTGGAGTGTTGGAACATCGTTTTAGGCAAGCACACAAGCACAAGAAAACTTCAAGTCTTCAGACGTCCCAGAATATCGACACATCTGTCTGACAAATTGAAACTGGGCAGGAGGCGTACCTGCTGTAGCGTCAATGCGAACACCCGAGCACTGCATGGGCAGCATCGCATCTGAGGCGCTATTAGGTGTGAAGGCTGCCACTGGCTCGGTAGTGTCAGGCGCGCACACCCCTCCATTGCATATCACCGCACCGGAACTCCCAGCACCGCACAGGGTGCAGGCAGCGGCAAGCCTCTGGGTGGAGGAGGCAGAGGCAAGGCACTTGGAGGAGTCTGCTAGGCAGTTGCTGCGTGCATCACATGCGGTGGTGGATGTTGCTGGGAAGGTTCCTGTGAGGAGGTTGGAGGCGACGTTGAGGGACTTGAGGGAGGCAGAGGGAGTGCCGGTGATGGGACCAGCGAGGTAGTTGAATTGCACGTTGCTGGTGAAGGGGGAGATGTGGGAGGGGGGTAAGGCGGGGAAGAAGAGGGAGGGGAGGAAGAGCAGATGGAGAGAGAGAGAGGGGGGTGAGTCAGGGGAGGCATGAGAAAAGCAGTGGAGTGGGGGAGGGCGCGACGACTGGTGGTGCTATGAGCAACGGCCGAGTGACGTGCTGAATAGTGTAGGGGGATACGTTCAGAATTGCAGTAGAGAAATGTGCCTAGATACGTGGGTGAGGTAGTCCGATTGTGTATGATAATTGAGGTGCTCGAGGGAGGTGCTTACAGTGCTGAGAGGGAGGTGCTTACAGTGCTGAGAGGGAGGTGCTTACAGTGCTGAGAGGGAGGTGCTTACAGTGCTGAGAGGGAGGTGCTTACAGTGCTGAGAGGGAGGTGCTTATAGTGCTGAGAGGGAGGATGCTTACAGTGCTGAGAGGGAGGATGCTTACAGTGCTGAGAGGGAGGACATGGTGAGGAGGTATGAGGGCAGAGGGCCTGAGAACCAGTTGTAGTTGAGAGACCTGGGGGACAGGGCGGAGGGAGATAATTCATAGAAAAGAGAAGTGACGCACGAAAAATCATGAAATGGTGTCAGTTGGGTCACTCTTTTCTGGGGATTCCACGAAAATGGTGCTACGATCAACATAAGTACATGCATAGGAGGGATTTAACACCTGGTGCGCAATCACAGAAAATGAATCCTGATCTGCAAGCAGCAGGCGGGGTGGGCATGCATGCGATGTTGATAGCAAGGGCAGCAGGTGCAGAACGGGACTGACAGTAGCTTGAGTGCCTTGAGGCCGGTGAGAGGCAGAGCCCACTCGCTCATGCGCGCATCCAAGAGGTTGGACGCCACGTTGCTGCGAGCAGGGGACACGGGGGCACAGAGACACAGGGTGAGAGGGCAGAGCAGATTGTGGGGAAAGGGGTGAGGAGTTGCGAAATGCGAGTTTGCGAGACTGTGAGGTTGATGGGGCATTGCATAGAATCTGAACAGGGGTGAAGGGGTATGGTAGAAATTTGGGATTTGAATGATACATGAATGGACTCTGATCCATGTGTTGGAGGGAGCAGCTGCACTCACAGGCTGGTGAGCGCAGTGAGCCTGGAGATGTCAGCATGCAAGCTGCCACGAAGCTTCATGTTTGAAAGATCCCTGTTGTGACGTCAGCAACCCCATGGCACCCACGCACATAGGAAAGAGGAGGAATCAGCGTGAAGCACAGCGGTGCAGCGGACAGGGCAGCATTTGTTCATGGGATACCTCCGAGGCTCCACACACATAGCAAACAACATAGCACACACATACTGTGAGAATCCCATAGTTGGGATGAGAGGTGAACTCAAGAGTTGGTATATTGAGAAAGAAGAGCAGTACAAATAGGGCATGAGGTTGCCCCCCACCATTATTGGCTGACCAATGTGGTGTGGGTCCAGCCCAATGATTAAGGTTGAGCCAATCATTGGAGGCGCCAAACATCGGAGGGTCTGGCCACCAATGTTGGCTCCCCAACATTAATGGTCGCGTGGGTTGTGGCTGGGAGACTTCCTCAATGTGTACACCCATGATTTGGGTGTAACACTGTTAGGTCTAGCCATATGTATGCTATAATCTAACACATACCACACACATACATCATGGCGGAAACGTAGTGCACACATAAGCCGCACACATCACCCCCACACGCACAGGCTAACGACTTGGCTTGAGAGGTCGCAGACGACGCCCGTCCAGCTGTCCACTGCGGGGGCATTGCCAGCGATAGTGCAGGGCGAGTCCACCGCCCAGCTGAGAGCACTCACGCCCAGCCCCGCCCTCAGTGCCAGCAGCGCCAGCGCTGGGGTGGAGGAGCAGGAGGGGGAAGCAAGGGGGGGAGCATAGGGGAGGAGCAGGGGGCAGTATGCCATGGGGGAAGAGAGGGTGGATCAGTGGGCAGAGTAGAAAGCGGGATAGGAGGGAGCAGAAGGCTGGACGGTAGAGGCGAAGAGGGTGAGAGGGTGGGAGAGGGTGAGGGTAAGGGTGGGGGTGAGCGTGAACCGAGGCAGACACTGGGTGTGGGTGGATAGAGAAAAAATCTTGATGTCTGTGTGGGTGAGAAGCAGACACTCGGCGTGAACCCAAGCCTTCAGGGCATGAGGAGAAGACCAGTGAGACTACTGATCCCGGCACACTCATTCTCCTGCTGCTGCTGCTGCAAATTCTGGTACTTTCAATGTCACGGAGTGCTGATACATTTATACCCATGCCTGCACTCCCACAGTCCCACTCACCACAATTATCATCCACGGCAGTGGCTTCAACTATTGAGGTTTTATAAACGTCTTGAATCTCACGCTGTTCCACTCACCAGAGTTATCATCCACTGGAACAGCCTCGCAGAACATCGCTGCGAGCGTGCCATTAGGGCTGTTCACAGTGCCGGCAGTAAGGAGAGCAGCGACATCAGGAGTGCAGGTGGTTCCCGCACAGAAGGGCGGGGTGCCTGTAGCAGACCCACAGAAGGCACAGCCAGTGGCACGCTGAGCCACACCGGCATCGTTGGTGCAGGAGCCCGGCGAGGAGAGGCAGTTGCTGCGGATGTCGCACAGCTGGAAGGGCTGCGTGGGGAAGGCGCCCGCCAGGAGGTTGCTGGCGATGGCCAGCACCTGCAGCTGCAAGGCCATGGCTGGCAGCGTGCCCGTCAGGTAGTTCGCTCCCAGCCGGCTGTAAGGAGGGGAGGGGGTGGAGAGGAATGGGGGAGGAGGGGCATTGAATGCAATGGGCATGTTCATGAGCATGGCATGGGCATGGGCATGGACCTGGGCGTGGGCATGGCATAGCAAAGACATGGGCATGGGATGGGCATGGGCATATGGGCATGGGCATGGCAGAACTTACAGCTCTGTGAGTTTAGGCATGTTGACCAGAGCCGATGGGATACTGTCATAGAGGTAGTTGGAGTTGAGGGTCCTGGATATGAGAGCACGTGAGAAGCACATACGGAAGATAGTTAATAGAGTGAGCAATGGTGAGGACCCATGATGGGCTGTGATGGGTCAGCTTATGATGCACAAGACCGTGACCTCTGCTCCCTCTTATCTACCAACACATGATTCAACACTAGGTGATTTGACCGTCTAATGCATAGAAAGAACAGAGGGTCAAACTCGGCCTGTAATGGCAGGACAGGTCCCTAGGCCTCATGTGGAGGCAACGTTGGGTGTTGGGACCATGGTTGGGCTGGTGAGTTTCTTGGGAAGTCTTGAGAGGTCAACTCACAGAATGTCCATGGTGGAGGGGCGTTTGTAGTATATTCTTGAGATTCAACTCACAGAATGGCCATGCTGGTGAGTGGAACCATGTTGGAGACGAACTTGGAGAGCTGACCCGAGAAGAGATTGTAGGACAGATCACTGTGATGTGGATGGGAGAGGAGGAGCAAGGGAAGGTGGGAGAGGAGGAGAGAAGGAAGGATGGAGAGGAGGAGCAGGAGAAGGAGGGAGGGGAGGGGCGAGATGTGGGATGTATCGGGCCGAGCAAGGGTTGGAACAGAGGCTGGGTCAGTAAGAGTTGGATGGACCCAGCTGTGCAGGTAAGAACCTGAGGTCAGATCAGGTGTCAGCCCCTTGTTCGTGTCGCCTTCTCTCGCACCAGACTCTTCTCTAGCACCACCGCCTTGGTCACCCCTCCCTGCCACGCCTCCGTGGCATGCACTCCCGCCTCTTTGTCCATGGTCTTCTCAGGTCTCTGCCCCCCCCTCCCGGGCTCGCCTGCCCCGCCCTGCCTTCCTTGCATCGAGGGGCGGCAGTGCGCCACTCCTCACCCCTCCTCGTTTCCACCGACAGAGGCTCCCCTACAGACTCTCCACATGGACGTGTGGGGCCCAGCCCACGTTAGTGGACAAGGCCGCGAGCTGTACTTCCTGCTGATTGTTGACGACTACTCGAATTACACCACGGTCTTCCCCTTGCGCAGCAAGGGGGAGGTCCATGATGTCTTTATCCCTTGGATCCGCGCTGTCCATCTTCAGCTCCGTGTGCGGTTCCACCAGGACCTTCCTGTCCTGCGTCTGCACTCTGACAGAGGTGGTGGATTCTCCTCCCACCTCCTACGGGACTTTTGTTGTGGGGAGGGCATTCTCAAGTCGTTCACGCTTCCGGCCTCCCCGCAACAGAATGGGATTGCTGAGCGCCACATTGGCTTAGTCATGGAGGTGGCTCGTACCTCCATGATCCATGCGGCTGCTCCCCATTTTCTGTGGCCGTTTGCGGTCCGGTACGCTGCGCATCAGCTCAACCTCTGGCCCCGTGTCTCCTTGCCGGAGACCTCGCCTACACTGCGTTGGACGAAGGAGGTTGGCGATGCGTCGGTGTTCCGGGTCTGTGGCTCTCGTGCCTTTGTCTGCGATACCTCTGTGGACAAGCTCTTCTCCCGCGCCATTCCATGTGTCTTCCTTGGCTTTCCCACTAACGCGCCTAGTTGGCAGTTTTACCACCCCACCACACGCCGTGTCCTGTCCTCTCAGGACGACACGTTTGACGATTCGTTTCCCTTTTACCGTCTCTTCCCCTACCACACTGCTCTTCTCCCCCACCCCGCCGCTCTTCCTCGCTCCAGGTCCCCCTCAGGTGGACCCCCTTCCCCCTCAGGGTCCTGCTCCTTCAGGTGTGTCTCAGGTAGATCCACTCCCCTTGGCTGAGCCTCTCGAGGTCACTTCCGACACCTCTGGCCCAGCTGAGGGGGGTGACGTTGCTGCTGACGACGCGGCGGGCCCCCGCCGCTCACCACGCTTGGAGACCCCGCCGGGCTTTCCACCTCGACCGTCTTCGCCGCCTCTGCAGCCAGTTGCGGTCGACTCTGGTGCTACTCGGGATGCTGCGTCTGGGGGTACTGAGCCTGAGGGTGCGGAGCCTAGGGGTGCTGAGCTTGAGGCTGCGAAGCCTAGGGGTGCTGAGCCTAAGGCTGCGGAGCCTGGGGGTGCTGAGCCTGAGGGTGCGGAGTCTGGGGGTGCTGAGCCAGAGGGTGCTGAGTTTGGGGGTGCTGAGTTTGGGGGTGCTGAGCCTAGGGGTACTACATCTGCTAGAGGTCCTACAGGTGCCTTGCCGCAGCAGTCTAGCCGGCGGGAGCCTCTCTCACCACAGCAGCTGCGCTAGTGGTTTGCTTGGCGCACCCGCCTTCGGAGCGGCACTGCTGGCGCTGGAGGCCCTGCCGCTGGAGGCACTGACGCTGGAGGTGCTGGAGCTGGCAGCGCTGGAGCTGGAGGTGCTGGAGCTGGAGACCTTAGACCTGGTGGCACTGGAGCTGGAGGCGCTGGAGCTGGAGGCGCTGGAGCTGGAGACACAGGAGCTGGAGACACTGGAGCCGGAGGCGCTGGAGTTGGAGACCCTGGAGCTGGAGGTGCTGGTGCAAGTGGTACTGCACAGCGGCGACCGTTCTTCGTTCCGCCGTCACCGTCGTCTCTACCACCACCTGACTCGGTGCTGCGCCAGGTTCTTAGCCTCTCGTCTTCTACTGGCCTTACTCCTCCCTTCCTGTATCCACCACCTGACCAGTCGCACCCATGGCTACAGCCAGCCTCCCCACTGCCTACTCCTTCTACTTACACTGAGCAAACAGACTCGCCTACAGAGCGTCATGAGCCTCCGTCTCGTCTTACCTCGTCTGTTCGTGCTGCTCGCACTGGTCGTCGTGTTCCTCGTCCGCGTCCTCCTCCTGTCCCTAGCACTCACACTATGACACTTCGCCCTTCCTTTGTTCCACAGCGTGTCCCCCTGCCGTCTCCTTCTGCGTCCTCTCATCCGCACGTTCCGGACCCTGAGTCTGACTTGGTTTGTGCTGCCAGCCCTAGTGTCACACGTCTCCTAGCCACTGTTGTCACCGACCCTTTGTTTGAGTCCACTGCTGCGTCTGCCTTAGTTGCTGAGCTTGTTGAATTTGCTGCTGCGTGTCGTCTCGACTACGCCGCTAGTCTTATTGCTGAGTCTGAGTCTGACTGTCCTCCGTCCATCGGAGGTGAGTGTGCTCTTAACACGGATGTCCTTGAGGACAGGCAGGAGGACTTTTCGTGTCTTGTAGCTGCTGTACCTCATCTCGTGGCCATGCTGCTTGCACCTGAGGGAGACCTGGATGCTCCAGACATCCTGGCCCCGCGCTCTTACCCAGAGGCGATTTCGGGTCCCTACTCCTCTCAGTGGCAGACAGCCATGGACGTAGAGATGGCATCCTGGAAGTCCACAGGCACTTACGTCGACACAGTTCCCCCTCCTGGGGCGAACATAGTCGATGGCATGTGGATTTTCAGGGTGAAGCGGCCGCCGGGTTCTCCCCCTGCCTTCAAGGCGCGTTACGTTGTTCGAGGATTCGGTCAGCGACAGGGGGTAGACCTTCAGACCTTCATGCGCGTTACGTTGTTCTTTCAGACCTTCTCCCCTACCCCGAAGATGACCACTCTTTGGGTGCTGCTGCACGTTGCCGCTCAGCGTGACTACGAGCTTCACTTTCTTGACTTCAGCACAGCTTTCTTACAGGGCAGCCTGCACGAGGAGATCTGGCTGCGCCACCCACCTGGCTTCACTGGGTCGTTTCCTGCAAGTACCCAGTGGAGCCTCCGACGGCCAGTCTACGGTCTTCGCCAGGCGCCTCGTGAGTGGCATGACACACTGAAGACGACACTTGCGGCTCTTGGGCTTGCTCCTTCGACTGCATACCCGTCGTTGTTTCTACGCACCGACACTTCGCTGCCACCGTTCTACATCCACGTGTACGTCGACGACTTGTTTTTTGCCACTGCTGGCACTGAGGCACTGACCCTTGTGAAGTCGAAGCTGCAGAAGAGACACACGTGCACAGACATGGGTGAGCTGCGCAGATATCTTGGATTGCAGATCACCCACGATAGAGCACGGCGCACCATCACCCTGACTCAGTCACACATGGTGCACCAGGTCCTCTAGCGATTCGGCTTCCAGTTCTCCTCGCCACAGTCCACTCCTCTGCCTACCGGTCACTCGCTCTCAGCTCCACCTTAGGACGAGACCAAAGAGCCGAGTGGCCCGTATCCAGAGCTTGTGGGCTGCCTCATGTACCTGATGACCTGCACTCGACCTGACCTTGCATACCCTCTTAGCATCCTGGCACGCTACGTTGCGCCCGGGAGACACCGACGAGAGCACTGGGAGGCCGCTAAGAGGGTGTTGCGCTACTTGTGCAGTACATCGGGCATGGGGCTCGTGCTTGGAGGACGGAGTCGAGTTGATCTCACTGGACACTCAGACGCGTCTTGGGTTGACAACCTGGCTACGCAACGGTCGTCACAGGGTTACACGTTCAGCTTTGGCTCCGGCTCTGTTTCGTGGCGGTCTACCTGCTCGTCTTCTGTTCTCAGCTCCAGTTGTGAGGCCGAGATCTACGCAAGAGCCATCGCTGCACAAGAGTTACGCTGGCTCACCTACCTGCTGACCGACTTGGGAGAGCGGCCTTGTTCTCCTCCAGTTCTGTACGTAGACAACAAGGCCGCGATTGCCTTGTGTCAGGAGCACAGATTGTGATGTAGGACGCCGTCGAGTATTCGGCGCCCGCCATCCGCCAGGATCCGTCAAGCACGGTTGCAGTAGTCCATCGCCGACTCCTGCTCGCCCATCCAAATGTGTGTCATCTTCTCCTCCACTGTCCGATGTACAGGTTATCCCTGACCTGGTACGTCGACAGGATGAAGTGCCATGCCTGGTGACCAGCATCCAGTCGCTCTCGACAGCTCCTGAGCACCAGCTGCACCACCGGCGAGCAGCACCTCGAGATGACCATGAAGGTGAGCAAGTGAGCCGCACGAAACTCCCGCACAGCTCGTCATCGTCCACGGGCGGAATTGGCACTGTGCCGTCGGCGAAGCCCTTCAGCCCGGCGACCTCCAGTTGAAGTTCTATCGACTCCCTCCAGGTGATGAGGTCCCGTTGACCTTGCAGCGGTGCGACGGTGATCCGGTCCGGCGAGAACTTGAAGTAGCCATACGCCGCTGCAATCCCGCCTGCTGTCACGTGCGTCGTCGTCGAGAGTCCTCCACCGCTTTGTAAAGGAGAGCGACGTCGACCATCGACGTCGGCACGCGATCTGCCTTCAACCGCCGTCGACTGCAGCACTCGCGCCTGAATCCTGTCGACACCACCGTCAACCTTGATCATCCCTCTCTACCTCGTGCCTTCACTGCCGCTGATTCGTGCACCACCGTCGACCTCATCATCGACGCCACCTTCGTTGCGCACCGGTCGAGGAGATGCAGGACGGGAAGGGTGTTCCGTCGCCCACTGTGACTGGATGCCCAACTCGACGATCAGCAAGGGGATCGTCCCGTACTCGCCATCCGCGTGGCGTTTCTTCTCCTCAGCCAAGCGTGCCTCCAAGGTGTCCGCTACACCCGCATCAACTACGGGGTCGACCATGGTGACTATCGCTGCTGCCGGCCTACGAACAACTTAATGGGTGCAAAAGTCGGCTCCTATCTGAAGGTAATTTGCGGGGCCTTCCACGCTCACCGCACCATGCAGAGAATCACTCAACAACGGTAGTGAGCTAGACTACGGGGGTGGCACGAACTACTAGGAGTGATCGTAGCTTTGCTTGCGTTCCTTAGCACTTGCACATTCACGGGAGAAATTGGCAAGAATTCCACTAGCAAAGTCGAAAATTATAGAATGATAAAGCTCACAATGACAAGAATGACTACATCAGACACCTAGCAACTTTGCAGATAGCCTGGTCGACCGCCAGCACAGCTTGGTCGACTGCCTGCCAGCGTTGCGTAGCGGAGCCGTGCCAGCATTGCGGAAAGGCAACCTGCCAACAGAGCAGGTCGACGGCATGCCAACGCTGCAGCAAAGCGGCTGTCCAGTGTTGCCCCGTAGAACACATCGGTGCGCACGCTCACAGACGATTGGCCCGACTTGCCTCGTTGGGCATCCGTCGGCTGTTGTCTGCGCTTGACGAGCCACATCGACTTCGGGATACCAGCTAGCAATCGCCTTCGCCATCGCGACCTCGACGACATTCGCGTGCCTCCGTGGAACTCGTTGAGCAGGTTACCCGGTCCACCTGGTCGACCACCAGGTGCTTCCGGTCGACCACCACTGCCTCTGGTCGACCACCAGGTGCCTTTGGTCGACCACCAGGTCCTGTCGAGCTACCCCCTGGTCGACGGACCCCTTCTGTTGATCAGAACTGTCAGCGGTGGTCGCCGAGCTCCCCTCCTCGACCGCTGCTCACTTCTCAAGTCGACGGACTGCTCCGTCGACCTCTCAGTCGAACTGCAGGTCGACGGACTGCTCCGTCGACCTCCCGATCGAGCTGCCCCTCCTGGTTGACGGCCCACCCGTCGCTCAGACCAGTCAGTTGCAGCTGTCGAGCTCCCTGGTCGACAGCAACACCACAGCGGTCCCCTGTAGCTCGATGAAGCCTGTTGAGGAGCTCTCCCACTGTGAACGGTCGGCTGCTACTCCCGTACATCCGACCAAGTCGTCGGCGTTGCCCAAGCAAGAGCGGGGCCAACACTCCACTCCCGTTAACATGTATATCTATGCATGTGAGCTGGCCTTGTGACCATTTGCTTGTGCTCAAAATGTGTGGTGACTTCGTGATCCACCTTGAGCTTGCTGTGCTTCTCTTGACTGGTCTTGTGACCACTTGTTCTCCCCCACTTTGCCTATGGGGGTGTGTCAAAACATTGAATTGTTCATATTGTGTAGGCTGTAGTGGGGTAGCCCATAAGGGTTAGTACTTGTACCCAGATCTATTCTTAACGCAGACATTCTCGCTTAGTCTTCTGTCAGTTTATTGAATACAAGTACGTTGTCGAAGGAATGTTGACATGTAGTTTACGAATGGGAACCGTCTGGTGAAGGTGAAGAGGGTGATGGTGCATGAGTAGGCGCCACAATGTGCAGTGTCTGAGCTCTCTTATTGGCCAATCTGTCAAAATTTGAAAAGGACCAATCAGCACCTTCACTGTTGACAGTTTCACTGCCAGCAGAACACCGCACTTGCCGCGTCATGATGACCAAGGTGGGTTTACTGCGTAGATTGAGAGTGCCACAGTTGTAAAATTCTATCGCAATTGGCCAGAATATGTAAAGCCATTCAAATATGAGTTCAAACCAGTTTCGATAGTAGTCTGACAGTTCCGACAAGAGAATTGTTACTTGCATGAAAGAATCAGACAAAGCCCTAAAAACAGGTATGTATATAAGAATATCATACCACACTGGTATGAAAATATAGACCCTGCACACGAGCACTCGACAGGACCTGCATTCTACAGATAATTCATAGCACCTATTGACACATATAAATCGTGCTACAATTTTGGGCATATGTTTTTTTTCCGTCACGACCCAACGTTACGCCGTTGTGAAAAACTGTTCTCGTAGCATTGAGGGGATGGATGGGAGGGGTTTTGACAATAAACCCAGTACTCTGATCCGAAGGTCTTGATTTTGTCACTAATCAAGAGCGATCCCGATTTTATTTGGATACGGTGGGATCGATAGGTTGAACACGACGCTCAAAATACGACTACTTAAGTTCAGGATGTTTTAGTATATTCAGAGGATGGAATTCTTTGCTTGGCGAACATTGCCAGTCTCTGTAATCAGTCTTCACAAAAAGCAAACTCCAGACACAGATAACACATAAGCAAGGTTATAAAATCAAAGTTTCTATCTAGTCATGTATCTTGAAGGGATAAAATCCTTTAGGGCTAAACTAGTCCTTAATAATAAGCATGGTAACTGTTTCACAGGCCGTAAAGCACTACAACCCTTCTAAGGAGTGCAGAGGTAGCCTACGCAATTGGAGACGGCAGTTGCTGCACACTTCAGACCCTGGCAGCGCCAGTCAGTGGGGCACGCAATGGGTGCAGCTGCAGCACACACAAGGTCTGTGACCCAGGGGCAAGGGAAATGGAATAAGAGAGAAGACGTACAGACATGGGGCGAAGTGGAGAGGGGCAGTCACGCACGTAGAAGCAGCAAATGCTGGCAAAAAAAAACGGGAAGAGCAGCAAGAATGGATCATTCTATGTTAGGCCAGCAGATGCATTGCACGCATAAGCACCACTCACCAACGCAAGACATGGGGAGAATAGCAGCGGCAGCAGTATTTGCTGTCTTGGCAGTGAACAGTGCAGCAGCATTGGGCGTGCACACCCCTGTGCCACCGCACAGCATGCCCTGACCACTCGCACTGCCACAGATATCACACCCTGACGCTCGCTGTGCCGTGCCACCATCCTCGCTAGGAGTGCTGCAGGCAGTAGCGCTGGTGAAGCAGTTGGCAGCAGAGACGCAGGAGGTGGCGGAGTTGGCAGGGAAGGTGCCCGAGAGGAAGTTGTTGGAGAGGACGATTGCCTTGAGCGATGCTGACACCGGTGGCACGCGGTATGTCAGGTAGTTGTACGCCATGCTCCTGGGTCACGTTAGTTTTCACAGAACGTATGGTGGTGGTGGTGGGGGGGAGGCGTGGGGAGGGGGGGGGAAGGGATGACAGTGGAAGAAGGAGGGAAGTTTGTGAGAGGTAGCAGCATATGTTTCGGGTATATGCATGAAAAAAAAGTACAAAAAAATTTGTTGGAGGGTTGATTGTGGGCCCCCCTCTGTGCGTAGGGTAGGAGGCATGGTGGAGCAATATGCAACGCTCATGTGGCACATGTTGTTGGTGCAACCCTACGGTTTGCACTCAGCTTGTTGTCCGTATGCGTGCATGCGTGTGTGTATGGAATGGAATGAGTGCATGAAATAAATATATATTTCATGCTTATAATAGTGTGTGAATGATGGGTCATGATGTCGAGTGTGTGTGTCAAGTCAATAGCGAACTATCGCTAGTCGTGTGTAACGTGGTCATTTTGTGTGTCCCGCGCGGTTTCTATTTTGTCGTGCGCGGTTTCTATTTTGTCGCTTGTCGAACGTTCGGCGTGTCGCAGGTGTGTGCAGCAGACCCATCAAGAACTCAAGGATGAGTTTGTGATGAAGAACCCGAGCCCTGGTGTCAACATTCAAGTGATCGCGAAGCTCGCCAAAAGGGTACACCTCAAGAAATTGAAGATAGTTACATTACTTTGTGTAGTGTAACATTTCACTTGGTGTAGGCCCTAGTGAAGGGTAGTTTCGAGACTCTTCGTGGTTGGGGACAGTGTGGCACTGTTCCACATCACTGTACCTCGGCTCTTGGGGTTTGTAGGAGCTGGGAGTCATTCCCAACTCGTAACTCTTCCTATCTTGTATTCTAAGACTATAGTGGCTGCCATAGTGCTGTTCGTTCAAACTGACGCTGTGTCGTTAATACTTGGTGAAATCGTGCGATCTAAATTGCCTATTGTAGGCGACATTAAGATGCTCCAGATCCAAGTTGAATCAGGTCATTTGAAGTTGTGACCAGAACGCTATGAACGTTTAAAGCCGCTGTCCAGAAATCCAACTGTGCACTCTATATTTTGTTTTAGGCACATTGAAGCCTACTGTGGCTATAACAAGTGGTATCAGAGCCCCTTGGAGCAGCTACGACTATGGCAGGACCTGAAGAGATGGGTGGCAGAGGTGCTGGTGGCAATGGAGATGCCCAAGCACAATGCCAAGCCCGTGAGTCGGCCGTGGCGCCCGTGCAACCGACTCTTGGACCTTCTAGGGACGAACCAAGAGTGTTCGGGCTTGACAAGTTCAACGGCGACAACTTTGCTGAATGGTCCTTCAGAATGGAGAACGTGTTCGACCACTATGACCTGCTGGAGGTGATGGAAGGAACGAAGAATCGTCCCGAGAACGACCCGGAGAAGAGCCCGTGGGTGCGGAAGAGCGCACAAGGCTATCTCCTACTTGGGCAAGCGTTGGGGAGCAGTCAAATCCGTCACATCAAGCCTTTCCAGCGTGATCCAGAGAAGGGACCAAAGGCATGGGCTGCTCTCAAGGGTGTACACGCTCCTGCAACAGCGGCGGTAGCTGTGGTGTTGGAACGGCAAATGGCGACGCTACGAATTGAGGAAGATGAACCCGTGGAAGACGGGGTGCAGAAATTATTCGACTTGTTGACGCGGCTTGAGAGAGCTGATTTGAACTACAGTGAGCTCCAGAAGAAGACCAAGTTGCTGGTCCTACTCCCCGAGTCGTGGTCCTCGCTCATCATCAACTTGAACCGTGACCTGCCCCGTCTCTCGCTTGAAGACGCGAAGCGCGCAATCCTACAAGAGGACTTCCGCCGCCGTGAGTTGGCGAGTGCGGATGGCGCTGGGGCAGCAAGCGTCGGCCGTGGATATGGCCGAGGAAGAGGCAGAGGACGAGGGGGAGGAAGGTTTGGTGGCAGCAACTTTGGCGCAGGCCGCGGGAGTGGCGGTTACGGCAGCGACGACAAAAGCTACGGGCGCGGTCGCGGCCGATTCGATGGCGAGTGCCATTATTGTCATAAGACCGGACACATGTGGCGCGATTGCTACAAGCTCCCTGATGGTTGGGCCCCTGCTCAAGACCAAGAGGGTAGAGGAGCAGGTGAAGGGAGAGGAAGAGGCCGTGGAGGCCGTGGCGGTCGCGGTGGCAGAGCTGCAAACATGAAGAGCAGAGACAACGACAAGGACCTGAGCGACGAACGGTACCCGGGTCTATTCTACTTCATGTCGACGCAAGTACCGGCTGGTCCAGAGAAGGATGAAGGCTTTGAGGAGCCAGCAGCTGTGGGGAAGGTGACCCTACACCCCCTGGACTATTGGGTGATCGATAGTGGCACTACCTATAGCATGACACCTCGCCCGGACCTGCTCACCGAACTCGAGCCCTCACCGGTGAAGCATGTCACATCGGCTTTGGGGCAGCGAGCAGAGGTGAAAGGCATGGGCAAGGCCATGTTCAAGGGTGCTGATGGAAAGATGGTGGGCCTCAAGAACGTGCTTTGGGTGCCCAGCCTTGCTGCAAACCTGATTTCCGTGCGGCGGTTGGCAAAGGCCGGCATGGACACGAACTCGAAGGGAGCCAAGACCTACACCGCAAAGCTTGGCGATCGAATTCTTTGGGACCTTCATGAGGACAGGTATGTCTACAACGAGATGTGGCAGATCCCTGTGGTCCCTATGCCTAAGGAGAGGCAAGTGGCAGCAAGCGTCAGCACCAAGGGTGAAGCAGTTGGTAGCGACGATAGCGAGGACGGTCACGCTAAGAGAAGGAGTCCAAGAAGTGCAATCTTGGAGGGACCAGCAAGTTCGGTGAACCTAAGGAGAGTGGTGCAGCAGCAAAGGAGCAGCAAAAGGGTGAGGAGAACCCCGAGGCAGCAGCGGAGGAGGACTACGGAGAGAGTATGTGGGGCGCTATTGCGAGCGCGGCATTCTCCAATCCGACTTCGGCTACGGGGGAGTGTGATTGGCTCACCTTGCATCGGCGCATGGGGCATGTGGCCCTGCCTATTCTGCAGCAGCTGGTGAAGAACCAGATGGTTTCTGGCATACGTGTGAATGGGGAGCCCGATGAGGTACTTGGCTGCCCGACGTGCATGCAAGCCAAGTTCACTCGTTTCCCGTTGTCTAGTTCGGAGGCGACGGCTAAGGCACCACTTGATGAGGTGGTGATGGACGTGGTGGGCCCCCTGAAGCTTGGAGCTGCTGGAGCTGAGTACTTCCTCACCATTGTCGACGTCTACACCCGCATGACTTGGGTGTATGTGCTGGCCAAGAAGAGCGACGTGGCTGAAACGTTGAAGACGGATTGGTTCCCGATGGTGGAGCGGCAACAAGACCGTCTAGTCAAGTCAATCCGAACCGATCGAGGGGGAGAGTTCCTGAGCAAGGAGTTTGGGTTGTGGCTGAAGAAGAATGGTATTCGGCACTCCCTCACCATGCCATACTCCCCTGCAATGAACGGCATCGCCGAGCGAGCGAACCGCACAATCACGGAGGCGGCACGCGGGTTGCTCATTGAAGCCGGGCTACCCGACTATTTCTGGCCTGATGCGGTGCGGAGCGCGTGTGTGGCCAAGAACAGAGTTTTGACTCATGTGGGAGCGGACAAATGGGTGCCCTATGTGGAGTGGCTTGGAAGGAAGCCAAAGTTGGATATGCTTCGGGTGTTCGGGTGCATGTGCATGGCGCTCGTGCCTAAGCATCTTCGGCACAACAAGCTCGGTGCCAAGGCGGTGTGAGCCGTGCACTTGGGCATGGCTCAAAACAGCAAGGGTGGCTTCTATGGGACCCATTCACCAAGAATTTCATGATGAGCAGGGACTGCAAGTTCATGGAGAACTTCATGTACAAGGATTGGAAGGCGGAGAATGAGGCGAAGATAGGCGTGCGGTTTGGGGAGGTAAAGAGTTCCGGCTGGGAGCATGCGGAGCTGCCTTTGGAGCTGAGCAGCGGCAGCACTAACACAAGGCAATCTTCCCTTGTGAATGGGGGAGAGGAGGCCAAGGATGCAGAGGAAGAAGAGGAGGAGGTGCAGCAAGTGAGCGAGCGTGCACCATCACACTCTTCCCGCACTACGAGTGCTCCACGGAACCGAGCCACACCGTAGCAACGCCAAGGCCTTCAAGTCCCTGCAGCTGAGGAGGAAGGAAGGGTCAAGAGGAGAGTCCAAGCCCCAAATAGGCTGACCTATGATGCGCCAGGAAAGCAGGGCAAGACAGCCCTGGCTGGAGTGGCAATGATGGTCGGAGACGACGAGGAGAGTGACTACGAAGAGTGTGCCTTCGCGTTCTTCTCTCCGGTGGAGATGCCGGGAGAACCAGCAACTCTCAAAGAGGCCTTGGAGAGTGGTGATGCTGAGGAGTGGAAGAAGGCCATGGAGAGTGAGCTGAACAGCATCGAGGAGATCGACACATTTGAATTGGTGGAGCTACCGATGGAGCGTACGGCGATAACGTCCAAGTGGCTCTTCAAAATCAAGTTGGATGCCGACGGCAAGATCGAGTGCTACAAGTCTAGGCTTGTAGCCAAGGGGTACCAGTTGAAGGAGAAGGTGGACTTCAAGGAGCTGTTTGCCTCTGTGGTGAAGCCGACGACGCTGCGAACCCTATTCGCGGGAGCCGCCATCAAAGAATGGGTGGTGAAGCAGATAGACATCGTAACGGCATCCTTGAGGAGGAGATTTTTATGGCGCAGCCAGAGGGGTTTGATGATGGTAGTGGCAGAGTGTGGAAGCTGAAGAAGGCCCTCTATGAGCTGAAGCAGGCCCCTAGGCAATGGTACATGAAGCTGCGCGAAGTGTTGGAGGGGATCGGCTTTACTCCCTCAACGGCCGATCACTCCTTGTTCATGCTTGGCGAGGGGGAGCAGAGGAGCTTTATTGTGGTGTACGTGGACGACATCCTGATATTCTCACCCTCCTCTGACCTTGTGAAGGAGGTGATGCTGAAGCTGCAAGACAAGTTCAAGTGCAAATCCCTTGGGGATGTGAACTTCTACCTCGGGCTCCACATCGAACGCGACGTGGAGAAGTGGTGCATGCGAGTGCACCAACGGAAGTACCTGGAGACGTTGGCTGCCAACTTCGGCCAGAGTGAAGGTCATGTGGCTACTCCCTTTCCTTCTGGGTTCAAGTGTGTGAAGGGGCCAGAGGAGGAGAGCGTTGGAGAAGAGGAGAGGCGCCGTTTTCACTCGTTGGTGGGCAGCCTCATGTATGCGGCTGTAAACACTCGGCCGGACGTGGCCTTTGCTTTCGGGCAGCTGGCTAGGGTTGTGCAATGCCCTAATGAGGAGCAGGTAGCAGCTGGAATGAGGGTGGCCAAGTACCTTGGCCAAACACCAACCGTTGGGCTGCAATACTCGGCGGCGGCGCAAAGGCGCCAAAAGGGCGCGGATGGAGTTGAACCCGGGCATTTGTTCCTCACCGCCTACTCGGATGCTTCATATGCATCACAACCAGAGGACATGACAAGTGTTGGAGGGTTCATTTGCTGTGTTGGTGGAGGCCCAACTGCTTGGGAGAGCAAGAAACTGGTTGATCAAGCATTGAGCTCGGTGGAGTCCGAGTACATGGCTCTCTTCCGTGCCGTACGGGAGATTGTGTGGCAGCGGCGTTTGTTGGCTGAATTGGGGGAGGAGCAGCAAGGACCTACCCCACTCTACTGTGACAGCCAGGGTGCCATTGCTCTAGCTAAGAACCCCGTGTTCGTGTGCGTGCATGCGTGTGTGTATGGAATGGAATGAGTGCATGAAATAAATATATATCTCATGCTTATAATAGTGTGTGAATGATGGGTCAAGATGTCGAGTGTGTGTGTCAAGTCAATAGCGAACTATCGCTAGTCGTGTGTAACGTGGTCATTTTGTGTGTCCCGCGCGGTTTCTATTTTGTCGTGCGCGGTTTCTATTTTGTCGCTTGTCGAACGTTCGGCGTGTCGCAGGTGTGTGCAGCAGACCCATCAAGAACTCAAGGATGAGTTTGTGATGAAGAACCCGAGCCCTGGTGTCAACATTCAAGTGATCGCGAAGCTCGCCAAAAGGGTACACCTCAAGAAATTGAAGATAGTTACAGTACTTTGTGTAGTGTAACATTTCACTTGGTGTAGGCCCTAGTGAAGGGTAGTTTCGAGACTCTTCGTGGTTGGGGACAGTGTGGCACTGTTCCACATCACTGTATCTCGGATCTTGGGGTTTGTAGGAGCTGGGAGTCATTCCCAACTCGTAACTCTTCCTAACTCTTCCTATCTTGTATTCTAAGACTATAGTGGCTGCCATAGTGCTGTTCGTTCAAACTGACGCTGTGTCGTCAATACTTGGTGAAATCGTGCGATCTAAATTGCCTACTGTAGGCGACATTAAGATGCTCCAGATCCAAGTTGAATCAGGTCATTTGAAGTTGTGACCAGAACGATATGAACGTTTAAAGCCGCTGTGCAGAAATCCGACTGTGCACTCTATCTTTTGTTTTAGCCACATTGAAGCCTACTGTGGCTATAACACATGTGGCTTTGGGCATGCAGCGATAGGAGGCATGGGGGCATGGGGGATGGGGCATGGCACTGACAGACGGGTGAGTTTGGTCATGGCGAGGAGAGGCGGAGGCAGCGAGCCCTTGAACCAGTTGTAGTCCAGCAGGCTGGATGAGGGTGCATGCAGAAGGGTGGAGACAGGTGGAGAGGGACGCAGAGGGGTGCCAGTAAGCAGATGGTTACAGAGGGCACAGAGGGGTGCAGAGTGGGCACAGGGGTGCAGAGGGCACACATATAAGAGGGGGACATAGAAGAAGCATAATAAGGAAGGTAAACCTTTAAGGGCACACAATGTTTCAAGCTCAACGCAGAATGTCTGTTAAATCACCTAGTGGAAAATGACGATGAGAGGTATGTGAGGCTGGAAAGGGTGAATTGCCTAATAGTGCACTGGAAAGGAGTGCACTGTATAGTCTCGTCCACAACAATACCAAGCACTGCGAGGGTGGTGAGGGACTCACAGCACTGGCAGGTTGGTGGGGGACTCACAGCACTGCCAGATTGGTGAGCGCAGGAAGCCTCAGAGCAAAATCTTCAAGGCGTGCATTGAACAGGTTGGACTGCAGGTTTCTGTGAGAGAAAGAACAGGGGAGGACACAAAGGGGGCACAAGGAGACACAGGGGAGCCACAGAGGGGGCACGGAGGGGGGGGGGAGGGAGGGGGGACAGGAAGTGAGGAAGGGAGGATGAAATGACTGGAGAGAGGATGGAGTTGGGGAGAAGACGAGGCAATTCTGGTGTGGGAAGCTAGATGAGAGCTTGTTCACGTGGAAATCTAACCACGGTTGTACAGCTCGACTCTCAGTGCTCTAGTACGGATTGTGTTAGCAGATGTACTCATGTTGGTTGCTTCATCTCGCAAATGACAACTGAACGCACCTGGGCGCGGATACAAGTGTGATAAATTGTATGCATCCGTTCACATGCCTGCATGTGCTTGCATGCACTGCAAGTTGCTCACAAGCATGAAGAATCTGTGTGCATGTGTAGAGGTGTGCACTTACAGGTAAGTGAGCGCTGTGAGTTTGGTGACATCAGCAGGGAGCACTCCAAAGAGCTGCTGGTTGTTGAGAGTTCTGGCACAGGTGGGCAGGCAACAAAAGAGAAAGAAGCGGAATGATCAACGGGGAGAGAATTTGGAGTGAGAGGAGCAGGGAAGGAGTCAGGGGAGACAATGGCGAGATCAGGTGAATCCTAGCAAGCAGGGAAAGTAGGAAAAAGAGCAGGAAATGAAGCAGGTGGGAGAACCAGTGTCCATTCTTTGCGAACTTTCGCAATTTAACACTGCTCACTTCATGTTCTTCATGAGATTGCCAGCTTCTGAAATGGGTTGCACACCCAGTGACACTGCCAATACCTTCGGGCTTCATTCATCCACAAAACAAAAGCTCTACTTTTAAACAAAATGAAGTGCTCACATCTTGACGGGGTTGCCAGCTGAGTCACACTCCACACCCGTCAAGCTCCCACTTGCTACAGTGCCAGCTGTCCCTGCCAGGGTGCAGACAGCATTCGCCGCCCACCCTGTGTGCGTCACTCCCAAGGCTGTCTTGATGCTCAGCAGCGCTGCCACTGTGGGTGGGGGAGGAGGGAGGGGAATGATGAACAGGGTGGAGATTGAACCGGGTGCTTTGAATGACGATTGGGAGAAATGCCAGTGAGCGTGGAGTGTGTGTGTGGAGTGAGAAACTAAGGTGTAGATTGGTAAATGCAGATTGGAAAGGGCAGAGTGGGACGTGCACTACTCCCTGTGATCACGCCACGCCTGTTAGGTGGGACTCGAGGGAAGCAGCTGTGGGCTGGCAGGTGGACGCACCACCGCCGCCACACAACAACCCCGTGCCATCGGCACTGCCACAGATACTGCACGTGGCTCTTTGAACAGTCCCTTTGCCTCCATCCGCCGTGCAAGCAGCAGCACTCGAGAAACAGTTGGTGCGTGCCGAGCAGGAAAGAATGGAAACTGATGGGAAGGTTCCCACGAGGTAGTTGCTTTCGAGGTCCAGGTGCTTCAGAGCAGCGCCTGGCACTGGCACGCTCCCAGTCAGGTAGTTGAATCCCAGACTCCTGTGGGATGAGGCATGGGGGGGAAACGGGGGGATTCGAGTCGAGACTAGAGGATAGACAATGCAACAGACTCAAAACAGACTAGAGGTTGACTCAGTGCAGCTCAGGCTTGTGCGGGATAGTCAATGAGTGTGTATTGTGTCATGCTATGGTATGGAACTGCCTGGCATGGCATGGAAGGTCATTGCATGGACTGGACCAGACTGGCCTGGCATGGCCTGGAATGGCATGGTATGGATGGCATGGCATGCCATGGCAAGGCACAGAGTGCCATTACAGTGGTAATCTCACAGCTTCGAGAGGCTCTTGAGACTGATTAAAGCCGAGGGGATGGGCCCAAACAGGTAGTTGTATTGCAGTTGACCGTACAACACAAAGGAAGGAGGGAAGCCAATGGGGTGGGGGAGGTTGAAGGGTCGGGGGGTGGGGGAGAGAGCAGTGGTAGGTGGATGATGGCAAAAAAAAAGGGTGAAGGGCGTGGTCCAGGCTGTGCACTCAAGAGCAAGATTCAAAAATACGGTCGTATTTTTGAAGTTGCTCTACGATTTCTAACAGGAGCCAATTATAAGAAACCGTATAAAACGGTAACATTTCAAAAATACGACCTTAATTTTGATCCTTGCTCAAGAGTTTACTGAAACCATTTCTTAAGAAGAAGGATCATAAAGCTATGACGTGTGACGGAAGAGCACACGAAATAAGGGAATAAAAGGAAGAGGGAGAAAGAGGAGCATCAATAAAACCTGACTCTGAGGGACACAGGGATCGTTTGAGCCTTTGTGTACCCAGTGATGAGTCTCTTCTACACACCATGCTTTCACGGCAAGAACCATTCGAGATTACCATCAATAGAAAGGAAGATTCAAGAGGAGGACGTACATGTTTTGTAGGTTGGTGAGAGAGGTGAAGGGCGCAGTAAAGGCATCCAAGCGACCGGCTAAGAAGTTTGAGTAGAAGGCCTTGAGGGAAGCAGAATCCAGAGGGGGGTGTAGGAGGGAAGACACAGGGGGATGATTTAGGGGATGTGTGCGAAGTTAGAAAATGGGAAGGCAGGAAAGGGAGAGGTGTGGGGATTGGCAGTGAGACAGAGTTGTTGGATGCGGGGAAGGCTGTGCGGATTGAACTGGAGCAGGCTAACGCTGCAGAGGGTTTCAATCAATGAAACCAAACTGATTTAGGAAAACACGGTCTCTGTAAAACACACTTCGTCTTTTACTGCTGTTCTTTACGGTCATCAAAAGCACATACAATTTGTTGTCAGAGGATTTTGATCAACAAAAACAAAAGAATAACACTGGATATATTTTCCATACTGGTTGTGAACGGAAACATGAAAAAAGGACCACACCCCAAATTGATGAAATTCCTTCCTCCATCCCACTGTCATTGTCAGTTGCGTGCCATGGTTTGCCCCAACCACTGGCTTAAGACAAGCGACCATATGAAGCGACCTTTTTGAACCTAGCAAACACGTTTTACAGCTCAAATTGTTTTGTACAATACCATACATACATAAAAGTATCGGTGGTATTATGCATGTATATACCCAATGTATATTTGTACAAATTGTTTTATGTGTATAATCATATCCCTGGTATTTTGTAAATTGGAGCTTACAGAGTAATGGTGAGTGCAGTGGGCTTACAGAGCAGTGAGCGCAGTGAGCTTGGAGATATCTGCATGCATGGACCCAGCCAGCTGGCGCGTGTTGAGGTTGATCTCCACCACAGAACCGGCCGGGCTGCACAGCACGCCTCCCAAGTCCCTCGGGTGAGGGGAGGAGCTGCTGACTCCGGAAACAACAATGACCACGATGCACAGGGAGTTCACTCCCCAGTCCGGAAGAGGCACTCCCAGAGCCGCTTTGAGACTCCCAAGCACCGAAACTGGAGGGTGGGGAAGAGGCGCAGGGAGGAGAGGGGAACGGTGGGAAGCGGGGGGAAGTGGAGGGAGGGAGAATGCTTGAGGGACGTAGTGAAAGAAAGAGTACAGGGAGAGATAAGCGATAGTGAACAGTGGAAATAAGGGAACATGGATTTTGTATTTTATATGGGCACCAGACGCACCTGCAGTGGCATCAATGCGAACTCCCGAGCACTGCATGGGCAGCAGAGCAGCAGAAGCATTATTTGGCGTGAGTGCTGCCACCGGCTCAGTAGTATCAGGGGTGCACGCCCCTCCATTGCACACCACCGCACTGGAACTCCCCAAACCACAGACGTTGCAGTCAGAGGGAAGCCTCTGGGAGGAGGAGCCAGAGGCAAGGCACTTGGAGGAGTCTGCTAGGCAGTTGCTGCGTGCATCATATGAGGTGGTGGAAGATGCTGGGAATGTTCCTGTGAGAAGGTTGGAGGCGACGTTGAGGGACTTGAGGGAGGCAGAGGGAGTGCCGGTGATGGGACCAGTGAGGTAGTTGAATTGCACGTTGCTGGTGAGGGGGGGAGGGGAGCGTGGGGGTTGAGGAAGGGCATATGGAGAGAAGAAGGGGGGGGGAGTGAGGCGAGGCATGAGGAAGGAGGTACGCAATGGAGTAAGGGCAGGGTGCCATAATCCATGATTATGAACGAGAAAGGGTCTTGATGAACAATGAAAGGGGAGTGGATGTGTGTGTATGATGATAGGTTTGCACAAGTCAAGGAGCTTACAGGGCTGTGAGGGAGGACATGGTGAGGAGGAATGAGGGCAGAGGGCCAGAGAACCAGTTGTAGCTGAGAGACCTGGATGATATTGGCAAAGGAAGAAAAAGTCACACAAGAGGAAAGGGACACACAACACGAGAAAGGAGACAATACAGGCACCCGCACAAAGAGACTCAAGGCCTTGCCCTGAGATGCCGGCCTTGTCTGGCCTGGCCTAGCCTGGTCTGACGCGCAGCAAGAAAGGCCATGTGGTATGGCGAGGGCAGGCTGTGCAGGCAGGAGAACTGACAGTTGCTTGAGTGCCTTGAGGCCAGTGAGAGGCAGAGCCCACTCGCTCATGCGCGCATCCAAGAGGTTTGAGGCCACGTTGCTGCGAGCATGGAGGCATGGGGGTATGGAGGCACACAGGAGGCACGGAGGCACAAGGTTACGAAGAGGTGAGCAGTGCGGGGAGGGGCTTGCAGTCTTGTTAGATGAACAGGGATAGCATGCTTTGGGAAGCAAAATGGAAGGGGCATAATGGACATGCAGCACAAGTTGGTGCTGGCCCATGTGTTGGTGAAAGCAGCAGCACTCACAGGTTGGTGAGTGCAGTGAGCTTGGAGATGTCGGCATGCAAGCTGCCACGAAGCTTCATGTTGGAAAGATCCCTGTTGTGACGTCAGCAACCCCATGCACGCACCAAACGAAAGACAAGGAATTAGTGTGAGGAGCAGAGGTGCCGCAGGCAGGGCAGCACACAAGCATGGAGCATGCAAGGTTGTGAGGTTGAGGGGGCATGACATGGTGTTAGGATCAGGAGGAATCAGTGTGGGAAGGAGTTAAAGAGCATTCAAGAAAGTGCATAATAGCACATGCTCATAGCGCACACACACATACACGCATAACATATGTACATGCACATATCACATGCAGACCCACGCTCATCTTATATCCCATGCACATAGCCCACGCACATAGCACACCCCCACATATCCCACACACATATACCACCCCCCCACGCACAGGCTAAGGACTTGGCCCGAGAGGTCGCAGACGACGCCCGTCCAGCTGTCCACCGCGTGGGCGTTGCCCGCCAGCGTGCAGGGCGAGTCCACCGCCCAGCTGAGAGCACTCACGCCCAGCCCCGCCCTTAGTGCCAGCAGTGCCAGCGCTGTGGAGGAAGAGTGGATGGTGGGGTGGGAGCGAGCAGAAGGGTGGATGGCAGGGAGGGATGGGGTGAGTGTGGGGCCAAACTACGGCAAACACTGGGTGTGTACGGGTAGGTGGAGGACTGATGTCAGAGTGTGTGTGTCGAAGGAAGACACTCGGGGTTGAGCCCAGGCTCTCAAGACACGAGGAGGAGGCCACTCGGAGTAGTGACCCTGGCACACTCATAATGCTGCTGCTGGCTACAGACGAACAGAGTGCTGATCCAGTCCAGTTCCACGATCCAATACGTTCCAGAAATTATTGAAGGTTCCAAATCCCCCCACTCACCGGAGTTATCATCCACGGGAACGGCGTCGCAGAAAGACCAATGGATCCCCACGTAGGAGGCATGGCGTAGCGTGGCAGCAGCTGTGTTTAGCAAAACGTTGTTTAAAAGTGGTTTTTTGCTTGCTTGTAAAAACCTTGTGAAAAAGAAAGGTTGGCGGTAACTAGTTTCGGCTCTTCGAGCCTTCTTCAGACCACAAAGTTCAGAAATGAGAAGCAAGCAGGCTAAATACCAACCCCAAGGGCTCAATCACGAGGCATTCCTCCGCGTGGCCAGGGAAGGTGGGGGAAACCTAGATGAAAACAGTAGAAAACAAATCTACAGTAAGCTAGCACTTATGAGCTGAAATTAAAAAATTACCAACTCGTTTTGGTAAACTCCAAGCGAGAATTGCCCTGCGTGTAGAAAAAATACCGTGTGACATTATACCGAGTTGACTTTTGAGTCGACTCAAAATGTTCCCCAGGCGCGAACGGTCAACCAACGGGTTGAGCAGAAGTTTCAGCACCAGGGGGCCACGGTTTTCGGAGTTACGAGTAGCAGAGGCACGTTGGAGCAGTTCCCCACGGTTAGCGAAAAGGACTGACTTAAAGATCGGGAGGAGAAATTTCTCCGGGTACCCACGGGCTCGTAAACGAGCGAAGAATAAAGCGCGGGAATTAAGAAAGTCAGTGCGGGAGGAGGAGCGCAGAAGAAACCTTCGTAGCTCACTCCGTATGAAGCCGACCTTAGTAGACCGAGTGTGGTAAGACTTAAAAGGCAGGTACAAGTAGCAGTTCATCGGCTTCTGATACATAGTTGACTTTTGAGTCGACTCAAAAGTCAACGTTGGAGCAGTTCCCCACGGTTAGCGAAAAAGACTGACTTAAAGATCGGGAGGAGAAATTTCTCCGGATACCCACGGGCTCGTAAACGAGCGAAGAATAAAGCGCGGGAATTAAGAAAGTCAGTGCGGGAGGAGGAGCGCAGAAGAAACCTTCGTAGCTCACTCCGTATGAAGCCGACCTTAGTAGACCGGGTGTGGTACGACTTAAAAGGCAGGTACAAGTAGCGGTTCATCGGCTTCTGATTTAGCTTCAAGTCGAGAGTACCAGAAGTTAAGAATCTCTGCCCTTTAAAAACTGTCAAGTCCAGAAAGTCCATTGTGGTTTCTGAAACAACCCATGTCAGTCGGATGGAAGGATGAAGTGAATCAAACCGTTGCCGTAAACATTCAAACTCCGCTCTCGTTCCCTCCCAGAGAATCAACCCGTCATCAATAAATCGAAGATGAAGAGCGGGAGTGAGTTTGAGCGATGCGTGAAGTTGAATGTCCAAATAGCTGAGAAACAGCACGGCGAAGCAAACGGCCACCGAGGTACCCATGGCAGTGCCTTGGATCTGACGGAAAAAACGGCTGTTGAAAGAAACGAAGCTGTTAAACATCACCCATCGTAGGAGACGAGTAATGACTGGCGCGAGAGGGTGCCGCTCATTCTGTAGGAAATATGCGACAGCATCAATGCCATCCCAGAGCGGTATTGACGGGTAAAGAGACTCCACGTCATACGACGCCAGCAGCAAATTAGTAGAAAACGAGCGTTGCTCAAGTTGCAAAATCAGACTTTGAGAGTCTTTAACGTATGTCGGCTGCTTAAGCACCAGAGGCCGTAGAACAGAGTCCAGCCAGCGCGACACGTTAGTTGTAATCCAAGAGTGGCAAGCGGCAATAGGCCTCCCAGCCGGAACCTTTTTATGAATTTTCAGCAGTATGTAGAACGCCAGAACCTTCCAGCCGTTCTTAGGCCGATCGAAAAAAGAGTTCCAAATCTTGGATTTAATAAGCGGGTCCCAATCCGAGCGAATAGAATGCAGCTCGTGAAGAATGTCAGAGACCGGAACTGCAGGATATTCCTTATAGACTTTGTCGTTGAGCAGGTGTTTCAGGCACTGGTCCTGATAATATTCTCTGCTCATGACGGTCAAGCCCAGGTTCTTATCTGCAGGTTTGAAGATGATGTTAGGATTGTTAGCAAGTCGTCTTAAAGTCGGTAGCACGTTTTTAGATTTCCGCATCAGTGAAGAAAAGTTATGTCCAGTGACTTCTTTAATAGCAGCTTCCTTAAAGACCTCCAGCGCGGTTTCAACTTCAGGTGAAGCTGCCGGCGGATCCCAGTTTTCTCGTTTAGGTAGCTTATACCCTGAGTAACCGGAAGAATCAGATCCATTAAAGAGAAACATGGTACGAACATTCCTAAGAAAAGTAGAAATCTCGGCTTCCAAGCTAGCGAAATTGCGAATAACAGGAACGGGTATGAATTTCAGTCCCAGGGTTAAGAGGTCAAGCTCAGGTTTAGAGAAAGTATGGTTGCTGTAATTGTGGAGTCCACGATTGGTGATACGGCACTGCAGCTGATACTCTGTCAGTCGTCCGAACAGTATCAGTGCGTAGGAGTGAACATCAGTCACTAATGCCGAGTCGTTTTTCCGCGGCCTCCTCCTCCCCCATTTTTTGGCGCAGATGCATTGCAGTTACCAGGCTTGGAGCTGGAGCTGCTGCGTACAGCCGTCTTTGAGTAAGAGCGGCCAACTGTCTTCACAGCAGTACGTTCAACTTCATCTGATTTCTGCTTCTTGCCGCTGGTAGCAGCACCTTTGCCGTTGCTAGCAGCACCGTTGTTATGACGGGAACCCTTGTTGTTGCCGAGCTTAAAAGACTTAGAAGCCTTAGAAGCCTGACGGGGCTTAGAACCGTTAGCAGCAGCAGTAGGTTTCCTGACATTCACGCCGGATTTGTTAGTATGAGATTTAGACTTTCCAGAAAAAGAGACCTTATCCTTCTTGTTGGATGTCTTAACAGGAGACTTCGCGGTCGACGATTTCAGCACTTTCTGCACTTCCTGACGAGCGATTTCTCGGACAGTGGGTTCAACCGGCAGATTCTCAGCTTCGTCGACTGCAGCCTTTTTCTTAGCGTCGAGGTCGTCCTTCTTCTGCTTCAGGTGAACTTCAGCCATATTAGTCTCCATGTAAAACAGCGACGCTGCATCCTTGAACTCGGCCAACACTCGTATCTTAAAGTAGTCGAGGCTGTCAAGGACCTTCGGGTTCTTAGAGCCGAGGTCGGATTTCTTGTTCAAGTTGATCAAATTGTCGATGTGGAAGATCAAGGAGTTATACACCGTAGCAGCATCACTGTAAGCTTGTTCTGCATCCTTCTTCTTCATGGCGATTAAAATATCTTGAGCATCACGGCAATAAGCCAGTTTAGCCGCTTCAAGATCCTTGTCAGCCTCCTGACGAATATCTTCGGAGTTGCAGACGAAATTAAAGGACTTGATACGGATCGAATGAGGAATAATCCCAGCATTCTTCTGCTCGACCATGAAGTTATACTGCTGCAGCAGAGTACGATGCTTCATAAACTTCTTCTTGAAGTCGCTTAACGCTTGAGATTTCAAAGTAGTAAAATAGGCCGGAGTAGCCTGCTTTTCCAGAAAAGGAATGTTAAAAGCACCAAGGAAGTCAATGGAATCGGACATGACGTCGTCACGAAGACCAATGTTATCCTGGATCCGGATACCAGCTTCCTGCTCCTGAACCGTCGAGGTAGACTGGTTAGCCATGGCGACGGGGATGATTCCAGGAACGTCGATCGACTTAGCGAGAGTAGCACCAGAGGATTCAAGAGCTCTCTTTTTGCAATGTCGGCAAGCTGAAGGATCTTGCTGTGGGTTGTCCCACGGATAAACCGGCTCTTTATCCGAGCCAAGCTGCGAATTTGTTCGCGGAGCTCTCTTTGGCTTCGGGATGTTCGAGGCGCGGTCAACCTTGGTGTTGGTTGTAGTAGTAGTAGTAGTGTTTGCATTGAATATATAGCTGGCCATCGCTGCAGTATCAACAGATAGACCAATGGATCCCCACGTAGGAGGCATGGCGTAGCGTGGCAGCAGCTGTGTTTAGCAAAACGTTGTTTAAAAGTGGTTTTTTGCTTGCTTGTAAAAACCTTGTGAAAAAGAAAGGTTGGCGGTAACCAGTTTCGGCTCTTCGAGCCTTCTTCAGACCACAAAGTTCAGAAATGAGAAGCAAGCAGGCTAAATACCAACCCCAAGGGCTCAATCGCGAGGCATTCCTCCGCGTGGCCAGGGAAGGTGGGGGAAACCTAGATGAAAACAGTAGAGAACAAATCTTCAGTAAGCTAGCACTTATGAGCTGAAATTAAAAAATTACCAACTCGTTTTGGTAAACTCCAAGCGAGAATTGCCCTGCGTGTAGAAAAAATACCGTGTGACATTATACCGAGTTGACTTTTGAGTCGACTCAAAAGAGTTATTATCCACGGGAACGGCGTCGCAGAACATTGCTGGAAGCGTGGCACGAGGGCTGTTGACTGTGCCGGCAGCAAGGAGAGCAGCGACATCGGGAGTGCAGGTGGTGCCCGCACAGAAAGGCGGGGCGGCCGTGGCGGAACCACAGAAGGCACAGGCGGAGGTGCGCTGAGCCACACCGGCATCGTTGGTGCAAGAGCCCGGCGAGGAGAGGCAGTTGCTGCGGATGTCGCACAGCTGGAAGGGCTGCGTGGGGAAGGCGCCCGCCAGGAGGTTGCTGGCGATGACCAGCACCTGCAGCTGCGTGGCCATGGCTGGCAGCGTGCCCGTCAGGTAGTTTGCTCCCAGCCGGCTGTGAGGAGGGGAGGGGGAATCAGGTGAAGGAAACGGGGGTTGTGGGCAGTGAAATCAATGAGATCACTTAGGCATTGGGCATGGACATTGGGCATGGACATTGGGCATTAGGCATGGACATAGGGTATGGGCATGGGTATTGGGCATGGGCATGGACATTGGGCATTAGGCATGGACATAGGGTATGGGCATGGGTATTGGGCATGGGCATGGCAATGAGCATGAGAAATGGCAATGGGCATGGGCATGGGCATGGGCATGTGCTTTGGACATGGGCATTGGGCATGGCACTGGGCATGAGAAATGGCAATGGGCATGTCATGGCAAAACTGACAGTTCTGTGAGTCGAGGCATGTTGACCAGGGCAGATGGAATACTGTCGTAGAGATAGTTGGAGTTGAGGTTCCTGAATAAACGCAGGCCCACGAATGAGAAGCACATGATAAACACATAGGGATGAGATGAAGATGAATAGAGTGGTGAGTGGTAATTGGATTGGATGTGTAGTAAACAGGATGAGGTTGTCAAATCCATTAGACCAAGCGGGACAGGCCCCTGGGCCACACACACATGGAAGCAATGGTGGGTGCTGGACCCCTGGTAACATGGCACTCACAGAGTGGCCATTGTGGTGAAACTCGTGAATTTTCAAAGTCAACTCACAGGGTGGCCATGGTTGTGAGCGGCAGCATGGTAGAGACGAACTTGGAGAGCTGACCATAGAAGAGATTGTAGGACAGATCACTGCAGGTGCGGGTGGGAGAGGAGGACGAAGAGAATGAGTGAGAGGAGAATCCGCTTGTAAACGCCCCAGGTTTTGTGGGGTTGAGGTTAAGGTTAAGAATTCTCACAAGTACCGCCCCAGGGAGCATGGGGTTAAGATTGAATGTTGGGACTTACAGGTAGGAGAGGGCAGTGAGCTTGGAGATGTCGGCATGGATGATTCCCCTCAGTGCCTTGTTGGGCAACGTGCTGCCGGGGATAGCAGGAAGCATGGGGACAGGAGGCATAGGGAGCATGGGGTCAACACATTCAACATGCAGGTCCAATAAAGGACGAGTTAGCAGGAGGGCAGGGGAGCCTCACATGTTGAGGACGGTGCCGTTGGCGCTGCACCACACGCCCGGCCACGACTTGGGGTTGGCGCTCTGCCCCTCAATGTTGCACTTGCTGCCGTTGCACCAGTCCGTATCTCTCACCCCAAGAGCCGCCCCTAAACTCAACAATGCCGCCACTGTCGGTGGGAGTGCACGTGAGGGGCGAGGGGGAGAGGAAGCTGAGTGAGTGGATACATGCAGGTGTGCAGCGTGGTGAATTGAATGCCATCCAAGCAAGGGTGACTGGTGGTGTAATGACGCTATGGCATGGATGGTGGCACATTAACATATATAAAAGCATGCGTTGCAACATGGAGGGAAGGGATCCACACATGGATCATGACAGCGCATGTCAAGGCAAGAAAGCGGTTTTTGGAAAGACAGGGTTCACTCCACCGACTCACGTGTGCATCCACGCCATCATCCATCCATGCCGCAGGAAAGGAAGGGGCTCACCAGAGTTTGCATCAAGGGGCACAGCAGCACATGTCATCACGAGTAAGGGGGCAGCAGCACTGTTGGGAACCTTAGCAAGAGAAGGAGGAAGGACAGGCAAGCAGGTGCCACCTCCACACAGCCCCTGCTGCGTCTGTGGTGACCCACATATGCTGCACTCTACGGCTGTCCGCTGTTCTGTTTCATCCACGTTGACGCAGCCTGAGGCGTTGGAGAAGCAGTTGAGGCGAGTGTTGCAGGCTAGTGTGGCCGTGGGGAAAGTGCCCGAGAGGAAGTTGGCCTGCGTGTCGATAAACTTGAGGGTGGCACCAGGCTTGGGCAGCGAGCCTGTCAGATAGTTGTAGCTGAGGCGACTGGTGGTGTGGTTGGGATGGAGGGGAGCGAGGAGGAAGAGAAATTCAGGGAAGACAGGTGGGAGAATGGAAGAGAGATGATGTATTGAGTGAGAACCAAAAGAGGGAAAATGTTATGATGGAAGTTGAAGGATTGCAAAAGAATGATGGAGTAGGGGAGGGAAGAGGACGACGGAATGATCAAGTGAAGAGGGTTATGATGTTTGTTACAGGTTGGAAAGTGTGGTCACGTGAGCAATTTTTCATTCGTCTTCTTTTCTTTTATTTTCTTTTCTTTTGGGTTTTATTAAATTGAACCTTTTTTGCAAAATAGAGAGAGACTTTAGGCGCGGGCTATTACAGATTGGAGAGGGCGGCCATGGTCACAAGCTTGGCTGGCACTGAGCCATAGAACCAGTTGAAGCTCACAGCCCTGGTGGGAAATGTAGAGGCGCACACACATGCAGAGATGCATGCACACACAAATGCGCAGAGGCATGAAGCTTAAGAGACATGAGTAAGAAGAACGAGTGATGACAGGATAAGAGCCACACGAGTAGATGAGAAAACGAAGGCAACCATATTCAAGAGTACGGAACAGAAAAGGAGGTGCCTAGGAGGTTTTGAATGCATCAACACTTGGGATGATGGAAGAACTAGCTGGGATGGAGATGCAGAAAATTGGCTCTGCCGGAAACAACGAATGACACTCATAGATCCCTCGAGGATTTGACATGACAGGAGTTTACACTCACACAGGATTCTGCACGGAGACGTCTGGGAGAAATTGTGGTATCAGTTGCGTGGTTGGCAACTTGGTTGGCAGCACTAACAGGCCCCTGAGCAAGCCGTGGGCAGGATAAGCACTAACAAGTCTCTGAGGGAGGCCTTGGGGAAAAGATTCACTCACAGGTCCTTGATAGAGACCGTGGGCAGAATAGGAGCCACAAAGGAGTCTAGACGCTGTAAAAAGAGGTTGGATGACAGGTAGCTATGCAAGGGGGAGATCACGTGAGGGGAACACATGGCGGGGAACACATGGGAGGGACTCATGGGGCCATACACATGTATAAGGAAAACCATGGGGGTAGAATGGAGGAATAATGGCAGGAAGTTGAGAGAGGAGCTGGAAAGTGCAGACTGCGGTGTGAGTATTGGGACAGAATTATGGGGTAATACTGTGCATTCGTGGCAGTAAGAGCTGGGCAGTGAGGCTGTGACGGAGAATGCAAATGGGTGCAGTTGCGGCGAGCATGTTACCTCCCGGCAAACAGAACACTGGTTTCTTGTCCTATCCTGCCTTAACCACGAGGATCTCTGCTTCAGGGAACTCCATTCCTGTCACTTGTGTCACACCGCACAGAGCGTACTTTAAAATCCCTGACTCATACCCCAACCCCCAAGGCCTTACAGCGCAGTGAGTGTGGTGAGCTTGGAGATGTCGGCGTGCACGGTGCCTCGCGGCAGGAAACTCCGAAGTTCCCTGCCCACCAAGCAGAGGGGCGATTGAACAGCAGGGGCAGAGGGAGCAGCAGAGGTATAGGGAGCAGAAGAGGCAGGCGGAGCAGCAGAGGTAGACGGATCAGCGGCAGATGCAGCAGCAGACGCAGAGACAGCAGCAGGGGAAGTTAGAGTGGCGGTTTTGAGGACAGCGATGGGCAAAGCGTAGCACACACGGGCTCCAGGCAGAGGGGGGCGGGGGGACAGAAGAGGCAGCAGGAGCAGCAGGGGCAGAGGGAGCAGCAGTGGGAGTTGAGAGCTTGTTTTGAGTCCGGCACGAGGATAGCGATGGGCAACTCGTAGCGCACACAGGCAACGAGAAACAGCAACTTTGAAAAGCAGCACATCAGCAGGGGCAATTTTGGAGGTTGGAATTGGAGCGCTCACAGGCCAACGACCATGCCGGCAGAAGAGCAGAACACGCCCGGCCAGGAGCCGGGGACGGGCGTCTGGCCTTGAATCGTGCACAGGCCCGCCTGCCCTGAAACCACCTGCAGAAGCCTGTCCCTGCCCGACCCGTTCCCTCCCAGGCGCCGCCGCCCCAGCGGCTTGGCCTGTTTCTGAACTCGCTGGAAAGGGGATTTGCCTTGGAGGTCATTCCAAGGGTACTGGCAGACCACTGAGTGAGGGTGACGCCAAGAGCTGTCTTCACAGAGAGCAGAATACTGGCCTGCACTGCATCTAGAGGCACACCCATGCAGAAGCGTGGGAGAATGGGAGACGTGGCAGTGGGGGTGGTGGAGGTGGCAAGAGGGCCGGCAGTGTTGGGAGCACAGGTGCCGCCGGCACAGATGGGATCGGTGCCCTTGGGAGAGTCACAGACGGCGCAAGAAGCCAATGGGCACTGCGTGGTGCCTGTGGTGTTGCATGCGCCTGAGCTGGCGAGGCAGTTGGAGGAGGCAGAGCAAGAGAGGAAGCCAGTGCCGGGGAATGTGCCAGACAGCCAGTTCTTCTGCACGTCGATGGTCTTGAGAGCCGTGCCGAGCTTGGGCACGGGGCCGTACAGGTAGTTGTAGCTCGCTCCGCTGAAGAGGAGGGGCGATAGGGGTGAGGGTGGGAGGGAAAGGGTGATAGAGTGAGGTGTTAGAGTGTCTGAGAGTTGAGGAAAGTGAACGTATCGGTGAGGCACTAATGCAGCGAGAGTGAAGGCGATGGGGCAGCATGAGGGAAGGCGGCGGGGCAGCATGAACGAAGGCAACGGGGCACCATAAACGAGTGTCCAAGAAGCAGAGAACAAGGCAGATCTCACAATGATGTGAGGGAGGCGATGCCCACAAGGGCAGAGGGGATGGACGCAGCGAACCAGTTGAAGTCAAAGTAGCTGCCACGGGCAAGGTGATAGGGTTGGAAAGGAAGCATACATGGGGGAAGAGACATGTGGAAAGAAGTGGAATGGAAACGAGAGTCCATATGATGAGGAATTTCATCATGGGAGGAGATGTGGGGTGCTGTGAGGAGAGGAAATAGGGTAGAAGGAGGGGGCGCACAATGCGTGCAAGCAGAAATGGAATGATAGGCAGGTCAATCTGGGGAGGATTCACTTGATGGGAGAAAAGGAGAGATTAGGTTTGAGTTCCATCTTTTGCCCTTGAATGAAAGGAATGAAGTAATTATGCATGCCGTGGAAGAGTGAGTTGTGGATGGCAGAGCAGCCTGCCTGCAGCTTTTGGCGCAGGCAGCCCCGTCCGGGACACCCGTGCATCCTATACACCCATGTCTCCCATACACCCATGTCACGCCACTCACGCTTGCTTGAGGGATTTGAGAGCCGTGAAGCCGGTTGTGAACGCATCCAGACGCCCCTGCAATAGGTTGCTGCGGAGATCACTGTAAAGGGTACACAGAGACAGGGGGGTGTGCATGGTAACTGCGGTCCTAACGGGAGAGGAGTAACAGGAGTACGATTCAGTAATGGAATTTTTACAAGACCAGAAAAAAAGACAGCACGCTCGAGACATAAGGGGCAGCGAAAAATGAGAAAATTCAGCAGCACAGCAGTGACGATTATGGGATGACGCGGAAATACAGATGAAGCATGGAAGGCATGAGTGTGGTTACTTACCTCCTTTACACTTACTCTTATTGTTTACTTTCTTATTTTGATGGCGGTGAGGTTGGAAAGGAATATCTTTAAGGTGTTTCAAAAAAAGACTTACATGGAGGTGAGGGTGGTGAGCTTGGAGATATCTGAGTGCATCCTCCCCGTCAGTTTCAGGCCTGACAGCTTGCTGCTCAACCAACGACAGCCACAAACAGCAAAGTGAGCAAGAAACAGCAAAATTGAACACAAACAGCAGTGATGTTTGAAAACGGGATGAAATGGTGCTGAGGGAAACAGAAATGGCGCTGACAGCCACAAACAGAAAATTCACCCACAAACAGAAAATTCACCCACAAACGGTAATGATGTGTGAATAAAGGGTTCAATGTCTTAAATAACATGTCAGAGAAGAAGATTGTGCTGACAGGAACTAAAAATCGTCAACGTTTCAATGTTTCGCACGTCAGGTAAACTTAAAAACAGAATATAGAAACAGACTGAAGCCTACGCAGGAGCAGATGAAGTGAGGACAGGCCAAATGCAATGAGGACCGGTCAACTCACAGGGAGACGGGTTTGAAGGTGGAGTCGCAGAGGACGTTGGACCACGCGCCTGGCGGCGCTGCCACTCCCTGCACGGCACACGGCGAGGTCACTGCCCAGTCTGTGAAGGACACTCCCAGAGATGCCTTCACACTCAGTAGCGCCGCAGCTGGGGGGGGGGAGAGGGAAGGGAGGAGTGCAGGACAGGGGAGAGACCAAGAATGGAAGTGTGGTTGCTTCTTGAAACAACGTGACATGTGAAGAAATGAAATGGACGTACATTCAATTGTGAGAGTGAGAGTGAGATCACGCATGGTATGGTAGTACTGCAGTTGTACGGAAGGTGGGTTCCACTTGTGCAAGCCTCATCTTTCCCCACATGCAACCAAATTCCCACATGTCCCCTTCCACAAGCACACAACCCTCACTACTCGATGCACTCACCCATGGCAGCATCCATGGGAGCCCCCGCGCAGTACATCTCAGCCGTCCCCGTATTCACAGTCTTTGCTGCGATCAGAGCCGTCGAACTGGGAGCACACGTGCCACCATTACAGAGCACGCCGGTGCCGTTGGTGCTGCCACAGATGGCACATGCATCTGCTGCCCGCTGCGTGCTGCCGCTGGTGCACTTGGTGCTGTCCTTGAAGCAGTTGCTGGCGCAGCTGCAGTAGGTGGTGGTGGTGGTGGGGAACGTTCCCACCAGGTAGTTCCCTGATGCGTCCAGGTACTTGAGGGACGCCGGCAGTGCTGCCGGCATGCTGCCCGTCAGGTAGTTGCCCTGGATCTTGCTGTGATGGGGAAGGGAGTGGGGAAGCAGGTTCGCATAGTAAGAGTTGAATCTGAGTGTGCATGGGGAATGGATGGAGTGGCCAAGAGGGAAGTGAAGAGGTGATGACCAGCATGCATGTACAGGCTCGCTGCATGAACCACAGTGGTTTGTCAGGCAAACGCTGAAGGTGGGTAAAGAGATATCGTCTGGGCAAAGATATCACAAGAGGCAGATGGACAGAGGAATACAGAATAGCAATTTGGATTTATCGCGGTAAATGGCAAGAAGAGAGAGCTCACAGCTCAGAGAGGGCGGAGAAAGCAGTGAGTGATGGTGGCACGGTGCCAGACAGGTAGTTGTTGTGCACGTGGCTGGTGTTGGGGATGTGGACAGCATTGGGAAGAGAGGGTTTCAAATTACACATTACACATTATGTCGCACATGATATGATATCGCATGCTCTAGGTGGGCTTTTGTGGCTTGCTTGGCCTGTATAAGCTGTTTGCCATGGCTTGTTTGGGCAGGTACAAAGTCGTGGAGGCACCAGATTGTTGGGGGATTGCTATGTTTTGGGGGTGCTGTGTGGTTGGTGGTGCAGTGTTGTTGAGGGTGCAGTGATGTGGGGCTGCCAGGAAGTGCAACTCACAGGACTTTGAGAGTCTTGATGGGAAGAAGAGGGGTGAGGAAGGAATCCAGGCGGCCTGAGAAGAGGTTGTTGTTCAGCTCGCTGCAGCATGGCACAGCCCACACACGTGCACCTTAGAGCATGTGAGCATGTGACCCGAGACCAGAGCGTGTGAGCATGTGACAATGTGTGTATATGAACATGTGAGTGTGAGCATGCAACAATGTGAGGACCAGAGAATAGAGGGTAAGATCATCCATTGGATTGGAATTAGAGAAATGCGCAGCTCACAGTCTGGTGAGAGATGTGAGGGCTGACACGGAGGAGTTGACGGATCCTGGCAGCAGCAGGTCGCCCAGCTTGCTGCATGTGTGGCACAACCAGGTGGTGCATGGATTCATCAATAAGGGATGATGATGATGATGGTGATGATGATGATGACGGCGACGGCGACGGCGACGGCGCTGATGGCGATGATGGCGATGATGGCGATGATGGCGATGATGGCGATGATGGCGATGATGGCGATGATGGCGATGATGGCGATGATGGCGATGATGGCGATGATGGCGATGATGGCGATGATGGCGATGATGGCGATGATGGCGATGATGACGATGATGACGATGATGACGATGATGACGATGATGACGATGATGACGATGATGACGATGATGACGATGATGACGATGATGACGATGATGATGATGATGATGATGATGATGATGATGATGATGATGATGATGATGATGATGATGATGATGGTGATGATGAAGATGATGATGATTATGCTGATGATGGGATGATGATGATGATGGGATGGTGATAACATGGTGCACACGGCCCTATCTATCAATCAAATGGAAGCATGGACGTGATACGATGCTGCATGGCAAAACACGACTGAGGAGAACGACAGCCCGCGCCCGTCACAGCCACACACACGTTGCACGATGGAGGAGACACAGAGAAGCCCTCCTGCACTCACAGGCTGAGAACCTTGCCGGTGGCGTCACACACAACGCTCGACCACGAGCCCGGCACCACGGCCTGCCCTGCCAGTGCACACGGCGCATCCACATTCCAATCCGTGAACGTGACACCCAGCGATGCCTTCACATTCAGCAGCGCCAACCCCATGGCCGCATCCATGGGCACTCCCAGGCAGCTCAGTGGCAGCAGCGGCTGGCCGTCCGTGTTGGGGGTGGAGGAGGCAGCAGGGGCGGAGGCATCAGGGACGCACAGCCCTCCCCCACACAGAACGCCAGAAGCATCAGTGGACCCACACACGCTGTACTCTGAGGATAACCGCTGCACCGTGCCGGCAGCGTTGGCGCAATTGGTGGCGGTGGAGAGGCAGTTGGAGCGGGAATCGCAGGCGGTGAGGGAGATGGCGGGGAAGGAGCCCGAGAGCAGGTTGCTGGCCACGTTGAGGGATTTGAGGGTAGTCTTGAAAGCGGGGACTGTGCCCGTCAGATAGTTGCGGCTCAGCTTGCTGTGTGTGGCGGTGGGGAGAGGCAGGGAGTAAGGAAAGGAGTTGGCGGGGAAGGGGGGAGGGGCAGGAAAGAAGGACCATGAGGAAAGGGAGGAGATGGGTGGATTGAGGAGTACAGCATAGGCCATTCAGGCGGTGTGCCTGTGAGATAGTCGCTGCGGTTTAGCCTACTGCAGCAACAGGTGGTGAAGTGACAGGGGTGGTGGAGGGTGGAGGAAGAAGAGGGGAGAGTGGGAATGAACACAACCTGTTTGAAAGAGGAAAGAGAGTAACTGTCACGAGTGAGTGTCAAGAACGAATGTGAAGGGTGAGAAAGTGTATGCAAGAGTGTCTTTGAGAAAGTAGTGATGGTGGGGGAGGTGCAAGTTGGTGGCATATTGTGTGATACTTTTTTGAAGAGGTAAAAACGGGATCACTCACAGGGTGGAGAGAGCAGACAGGGCGATGAGAGAGGAGGGGATGGAGCCAGAGAACCAGTTGTACTGCAGGTGACTGCAGGTGGGAAGTGATGTGATGTGAGCGGCATGGAAATAAAGGAGTCGAGAGGATTGTTTGGGGGATAGGAGCAAGGAGGGTTGAGTGAGTGGAGATTAACGAGAGAAGTATGTAGTGCCAATGTGTACAGCAGAGTGTACAGAGTGTGGTGAGTTGACTCTGAACCCAACCGCCTCTGAACAGTAATCAGTGGTATAACGTACAGAACTTGGAGTGCCTTGAGGGCAGAGACGGCAGAGAGGAAGACATCCAGGCGGCGCTGGAAGAGATTGGAGCTCAGGTCGCTGCACACATGCATGCACATGCACAAACATGCACAAACATGCACAAACATGCGCAGACATGCGCAAACATGCACAAACATGCACAAACATGCGCAAACATGCACAAACATGCACAAACATGCGCAAACATGCACAAACATGCACAAACATGCGCAGACATGCGCAAACATGCACAAACATGCACAAACATGCGCAGACATGCACAAAAATGCACACACATGCCCAAACATGCACACACATGCACAAACATGCGCAGACATGCACAAAAATGCACACACATGCGCAAACATGCACACACATGCACAACAATGCACACACATGGATGCACAAGCAATCATATGAACATACATGCACACACACACACACACACACACACACACAGGTGTAAAGGTGATAGCAAGACTGGAACAAAAGTGAGAGCTGACGGGCCAGTAAGATGGGTATGGCTGACAAGTAGCAGGAGAGAGCAGATACTATGGCAGGTTCTATGATACAAAGAGATTTTAAGGGCGTACAGCATGGTGAGGGCTGTGAGCTTGGTGATCTCCGTTGAGAGGCTTCCACTCAGCTCCTGATTTGGTAGCATACTGCACAATGAAGCAGAAGAGTGGGAAAGAGGAGAAATGGAGAGAGAAAGGGGCGTGTTTCCACTCAATCCATCCACGTATATCAAAACAGCACAATCACACTTCAGTGGAATAACAAAAGCAACTTCCTATAAACCCACAGCAGCACGGCCAAGCACAGCAGCATGGCAGCACTCACATGCCCACAACAACGCCCTTGGAGCTGCAATAGACGCCGGTCCATGCGCCTGGGCCAGGATTCTGCCACTCCAACGTGCACGTGCCCTGAGTCGCTGCAAGCGGCACACTGCTGCTGCGTGGGAGCGACTTGGGCGAGGTGGGGCTGGAGGGCTTGAGCAACGGCAGGGTGGCAGTCCAGTCTGTCAGCGTCACCCCCAGTGCGGCCTTGATGGCTAGCATGGTTTGGGCTGGCAAGGCGAGGGCGGGTGTTGAGAAGAGGGAGCAGGAGGAAAGGGGAAGAGGGGTGAGTTGAGGAGGAAGGTGAAGGAACAGGAGGACTGAGGTGGGCAGGGACTAGGGATAGGTGTCACGGGTGTTGTGAACAAGAAAGAGAGTGAATAGAACCTCTAACCTTGGCACCCACCCGTTTCTTGATTTTGTCACTCTTTCATATCAACAGGCCATTACAAAAGAGGAGAGATAGCAGAGGTGCACAGAAGAGGCCACGGAGTACACTCACTTGTTACCAAGTCCATGGGAATAGCCTCGCAGAAGAGATGGAGACTAGCAGAAAGCGCAGTGGGGGGAGTCGTCACCCCAGCCCCAGCAGCAGCAACCCGGCAGGTGGTGGCAGCAGCACACAGAGCGCCCTGGCCGTTGGTGGAGCCACAGACGGCACATTCAGCGGCGCTGCGCTGTGGCAGTCCCAGTGATGCACACTTGGACGTGTCCATCAGGCAGTTGCCCGTGCTGGCGCAGTAAGGGATGGTGTTGGCCGGCACGGAACCCGCCAGGAAGTTGCTTTGCACGTCCAGAGAGGCGAGCGTGGTGGGCAGTGCGGTGGGGAGTGATCCGGTGAGGTAGTTGAAGGCCACGGAGCTGATGGCGTGGTGGAAAGGAAAAGGGTAGCAAAATGGAGTTTTGAAAGCAGAAACAGAAACAGTTGTTGAGGTCCTAAAATTTTTTGACTCTGATGCTGCACTGGATGAGGCAGGATAAGCAGAGAAGCAGCATCTGACACAGTGAGAGGCAGGTGGTGACCTGAAGATAGAGCTATTTAGATTAGCATGGGAGAGGAGTCGCAGAGAGAGATACACGGGCGGGTGCCACACTGCTACGGATACGGTTCAGGGTGGGATCAAGAGTTTATTAGTTATTTTTCCTGCTTGCTATGACCAGGAGGACGGAAATATGTCTTCTATATGCTTCCTACAGCAACAAGCACATGGAACAAAGCTTAGGCACTGGGGTGTATGTAAATTCAAAATGCTCATTTCTTCTTGTGTGACAGGAACTGCTTCAGAATACCAGCATCTTTTGTGATAATGCTATCACCACTCACAGTGTTGAGAGGGTCTTGAGTGCGAGGATGGCCGAGGGGAAGACACCATAGAGATAGTTGTACTGCAGGTAGCTGCGGGATCAAGCTGAGGTGGGTGGCAGGACAGAACGCGGAGATTATGAGTAATGAGAGAAATAAATTTGAGAGAGAGAGAGGGGGGGGGGGGGAAGAGGGGTGAGTTGATGGGCTTATGGGTTTGAGGTTATCACGGTTACAACTGCATGTCTGTACCCCTGCTGAATTAATACAACGGACCATTTGAGAGAGAATAAAAAAAAAACAAAAAAAAAAAAAAACAATACTGGATGTGGGCAAATGGGTGGATGCGTGGGGGGGTCGATCAATAGCTTGGTGGATGGGTGGATGGGAGGACAGAAGCATTGGCGGCTGGGGGGAACAGGGACTGACAGCTCCTTGAGCACAAGAGGTGCCTTGATGTTGGCAGTGAAGGCGTCCATCTTGCCTTCCAGCAGGTTGGACTGCAGGTCACTGTGGTGCCAGCAGGGGGGAGAGGTGCAAAGAAAGGGTGATAAGCCAACAAGAGGCAAATAGGAGACGTTGCTTGGCAATGACAGGATGGATTTGTGAGTGTTTTCCTGTGAAGTTCTGTGCTGTGCTGTGCCTGGACCCTGAATCAGAGGCCTACTGCAAGGTGAGGAGGAGCCTCGTTAAATGCGCATGACTACTCACAGCACGGTGAGGGTGGTGAGCATGTGTACTCACAGCACGGCGAGGTTGGTGAGTGAGCATGTGCACTCACAGCACGGTGAGGGTGGTGAGCTTGGAGATCTCCGAGTGGATGCTCCCTGTGAGGCCCAGCCCCTTGAGGGACCTGCGTGTCGTCATTGATTGCCGTACACATGGGGAAGACACATGCGGTGATTGCGTTGAACGTGTAGTGGGGAGGCCATTAAACGTGCTAGACACAAGAAATGGTAAGAGTGGGTAATGTACCAATTGCAGAATGTGCACGGCAACCAATGGCTCAACGTTTGCCACTGGGAGACAGGGAGGAGGGAAGAGGCAGCAGGATTCACGCATAATGCTTCCAATGCAGCAGCTTGTTGCAAGTCTTGGTACGATCACACACGCAAAAATCACACTCGGAAGTAGAGAGAGAGCACAAGGCAGGGATGCAGGCAGGGCACTCACACTCGGAGCACTTTCCCGGAATCATCATAGGCGACGCCATTCCACGTGCCGGGAGCCGGGGAGGGCGACCCCACGAGGGTGCAGAGGGCATCGACCCGCCAGTCTGGAAACGACACTCCCAGCGCCACCTTCACATTCATCAGCGCAGCAGCTTGAGTCGCATCCATGGGCACACTTGTGGCAGCGGTGCAGACCAGAGGGAGCACGGGCGATGAGGCACTGTTGGGTGTGCCTGGTGGGAGCAGGAGGGCAGGAGGAGTGACGCTGCAGATTCCCCCACCAGTGATGTTGCTGCAGAGCTTGCCCTGAGCGTTCGTGGTGTTGCAGATAGCGCAAGCAGGTGCTGTTCGCGGGATCTCAGCGGGCCTTGTGGGGTGCTTGCAGTTGGCGGTGGAAGCAAAGCAGTTGATGCGGGCGGAGCAGAAGGCGAGGCCGAGGGCGGGAAAGGAGCCGGCAAGGAAGTTGAACTGCACGTCCAGAGCCTTGAGAGGCGCCGCTATGCTGCCAGGCAGCGAGCCCGTCAGGTAGTTGAAGCCCAGCGCGCTGGTGGGGGGTTGCGAGGGGAAGGTGTGGTGTGTGGGGAGGGGAGAATGAAAAGCAAGGAGGTGAGGAGTTTGTAGGTTTTACAGCATTGAGAGGCGGATGCGAGAGATGCAAGGAGATGGATGGCATGCAAAGAGTGGAGAGCGAAATGAATAGGCGAATGGAGGGCAAAGAAGGTGTGCTTTGGCTGACTGGTGGAAGGAAAATTGGCAACAGCGTAAGTATGGGAGCTCACAGGTTGGAGAGATTGGGAAGAGCGAGGAGGTATCCAGGGACAGTGTGAGAGAACCAGTTGAATGAGAGGTTGCTGCAAGTCAAAGTGGGTGAGAACGGGGAAGGTGGGTGGTGGGGTGGGTTGAAAGAGCATGTGGATTGCATAGAAAATGCAGATGAATGTGGTTGGAAGAGGGTATACTCAACACGTCAAGGCACAAGTCACAACGCGTGCAAGGCTGTAAGTGACAAACAACCTCTGCATCTGGTGGCACAGCTGCTGGCACAAAAGCTGCTGAGATCACAGGTGCTTGCGAGCACAGGTGGTGAGATCACATCACAGGTGGTGAGAACAACGCACATGGATTGGAGGGCAGTGAGAAGGCGAAGGTGTGTGGCGACCTCGTCCAGGCGACCCTGAAAGAGATTGCCGCTCAGATCGCTGGGATGGTGTTGAGAGGCGGGTGAGAATAAGGAAAGGAGTGGGGCGTGTGGAAACAGGGAGAGGGGATGTAAAAAACAGAGGAGATGTATAAAAGGGATGATACTAGAGGGGTGTCTAGTCATGGAGAAGTGAGGGCGTGGAAAACAGGGGGAGGCGAGACAGATATGCGGACTCCGCATTGCGGAGCGTGCTAGCATAATGGAGTGCAACAAGGTTCAGTCATGTGATAGAAGAAGGGATAGGTAGTGAGCAAGGCACGCTTACAGGGAAGTGAGAGCTGTGAGATCGGTGATTGCACGAGGAAGAGTGCCTGCTATGTTGAGACGCTTTAGCTGCCTGGAAGGAAAAAAAAAAGTGGATTTGGAAGGAAAAATGGTGGTGACGGGGCGGTTGAGTCAGGTGGCGTGGAAGATTGGCAGCAGAAGTGGTAGCCATGTATTAGCACAGCGGAGCTGCAACACAACAGAAGGACCCATAATGGAGGAAAAAACAGATACAACAGCAGCAGAAGAAGTTGAAAGATATACAAGTGTGGTGAAGAGGTCTCACAAGGTGCGGACTCTGCCGGAAGGGTCACAGGACACAGCAGTGAGGGTGCCTTCAATGGCCAGCCCGGTGGAAGCCGTGGTGCAGGCCTTGTCAAGCCCCCAAGTTGTGAAGGTCACCCCCAGCGCGGCCTTCACTGCCAGCAGTGCTTGCGCTGTGAGAGTTGGGGTGTGCGGTGTGGGGGGCGAGGAGAGGTGATTGAGGTGGGGAGGGAAGAGCGGCACAGATGGGAGAAAGAGGAACATTGAGTGAGTGACATTTCGGGAGAGGGGATGGGTAGGGAGGAGGGTTGGCAGGATGGAGTGAGGGAGGTGTATGGAGTAGAAGTAAGCATACCACACGGAACTTGGACTGTCGTTTAAGTGGCATATTACGTGCCGGCAAATATCAAATTTCTTAGTTCGCAAATGAATATTTAACTTGTCACAGCCCAGCACAATTGCATTGCATCCATCTGAGCTCAAATGTGTCGCTCGGAGTCTCTCACCATCAGTAGGATGGATTGTGACCACCGGCGCTTCTGCAGTGGATGATGACAGGGAGAAAGGAAAGGAGGACGAGAGGAATGAGGGCAGCTAAAGATGAGAGTAGAAATAACTGGACAGAGATTTCAAGTAGTCGAGATGGATGGACAGGCAGATATTAATATGAGCATGATTTCCGAATACCTCAGATTTCAGGATGCACGCACTGGCACATCATGCCATGAAGCACTGCTGGAATATGCAATGACTCACCACCACAACATGACACAGCTGACCGCCACCACACCACCACATGCAATATGCCATGACTCACCAATACAGTACATGTCAGGAGGGTCCATGCCATCAGCATGCACGGTGCTGCCATCCACATCCGGCAAGCACGACCCTCCGAAGCACAGCAAGCCCTGCCCGTCCTCTGACTCGCAGATGGCACACGCCTCGGCATCCCTCTGAGCCGCAGCGCTCGCCTCACTGCACGCCATCGCACTCGCCAGACAGTTGCTGCTCGCGTCGCACTGAGTCAGCGAAGCTGCGGGGAAGCTTCCCGCGAGGAAGTTGTCTTGGATGTCAAGGGAGAGGAGAGAGGTGGGCAGGGCTGGCACCGTCCCGGTCAGTGCGTTTGCATGCAGGTCCCTGCAAGTAGGTGGTTCAGATGAGTTGATTTAGAATGGCACGAGTTCCCTGAAAGTGGGGGTAGTATTAAACCAAAGTTCGGTTGGGTCATACAGTTTGTAAGCGTACATGAGCCAAACCTTTTGTTTGACAAAAATCCTTAAAGTTGACCGCTCGACTCGGTTCGACTAGGGGTGGCAAGCCACACCAATCCAAACCTAACCCCTGAAGAAGCTCATTTGACACCCCGCCAAACCGAACCTCTACGCAGCTGAAACACCACGCTCCTGGCGTAGGACTAGATCCTTAGAAGGTTCGAGTTCAAAGGTGAAACCTGAACTGCTTCGGTTCGGGTCGAGGAGGGGGCCCTCAAAGAGGACACGAGCATTCTCTTTATAAACTGCGGAAGATTCTATAAGGAACTTGGAGCACTTAAAGAGAGTCACTTTTTGCCGCATACAACTGGCTTCGGAGAAGAAAAACAATCGTCGAAGGCCGCCAAACCCACAAACCAGTTAGAACTGGACCGAAGGCCCTCGAGCTGAAGCAGAATGCCCTCGAGCTGAAGCGGAACAGAACCGTGGCTTCAAGTCTGAAGGGCCGATTGCAATGTGCGAGTGGGAAGGGAAGCGCAGGGTTACTTACAGGAGGGTGAGGGTGGACAGGGAGACGAGGGAAGATGGGATGGAGCCCGCAAACCAGTTGTTGTTGAGATAGCTGCAAGGAGAGGAGGATAAGGGATGAGTAAAGGGAAGGGAGTGGAAAAGGCATGGGACCCGAAGGATAGAACAGAGCAGGAGAAAAGGTGCAGAATGAAGAAAGGGAGGAAAATAAAGAAAGGTGGCAGAAAAAGGGAGCGGAAGGAGGTGTGGGAGAGGAAGCAACAAGGGTACTTGTGAGGGAGGCTGGAAGAGGGGAATGGGTGAGCCCAGACAAAGGTGGTGCAGAGATGAGCAGCCTGACGAATGCAACGATGAATTGACTTCATTTCAAAGATTGTGACGTTTCAAGATAACGTCGGTGAATACACGACGAGCCCATCGGCAAAGCAAGAGCAACACGGCGTGTGTCACTCTCAGCACAGGCGTCACTCTCAGCACAGGCGTCACTCTCAGCACAGGCGGCACTCACAGGCGCTTGAGGGCCTGGAGTTTGGAGAAGCCAGAAGTGAATGAGGCGAGGTTCTGGCGGAAGAGGTTGCTCGACAGGTCCCTGAGGCATTGGGGGGAGGAGGGCGAGGGAAGCAATGGGGAAAAGGTTGAAATAAGATGCGAGGGGGAAGGAGGGCGAGGGGGGCAGTAGGATGGCGGAGGGATGGAAGGAAAACGCTCAGGTTAGGTGGATGAAATGGGCTGTTATTGAGAAAATGTGGTTAGATGTGGAGAATCTATAGGAGATGCCATGGGTGGATAGGATGGATGGATGGAGTGCTACATTGAAATGGTATGAGACGGGGCTTGCAATGGCGGACTGTGGAAGCAGCAGAAGGAGGGACGGGAGCAAAGCAGGGTCTACTACGCAAAGCAGGGACTACGCAAAGCAGGGACTACCATGTGGTCACGTGCATGGCATGGCATGGCATGGCATATATGAAAGCAATCTTCATGCCTACCCAAGACGGGGAGAGGGAGGAAGATTTATGGACATGGAGGGAGCGGGCGCGAGAGAGAGAGGGAGAAGGGGAGGGAGGGGAAGGATGGAGGACAGGAATGCAAGGGTTTTTGGGAGAGTAGGAAAGGATGTGAGGGGAACTGACAGGATTGTGAGGGCAGTGAGCTTGGAGATGTCAGCATGAACGGTACCATTAAGGCCCATAAAAGACACGTTCCTGCATGCAGGCAAGAGGAGTGTGACGGCACCAACCGGTGAGTGGGGAAGGGGAAGGGGTTGCGGGGAGGGGGGTGTGGGGGAGTCGAGCATAATGGAAGGATAAAAAGACAGTTAGGTGCATGGATGGTGGGTGGGGTGGGGCCCACTTGACATGTGAGGATGAGATGTGAAAACAAGGTGGACCGTGAAAATGAGAGACTGCCATTTGGTTTCCGTATTCCAACCTCCAAACCACTTGCTCGCAGACAATGCAACAATTTAAAGCTCTAAAAAATATCTGCTAACAAAGGGCCGTGCAGGGGACAGAAGTGCAGGATTCTGGCAGCCACAAAGAAACTGCAGCAATTCAGTATCTGGCCTGCACTTGGCATATAAGCAATTCTCTTTTGCAAGCAAGTAGCACAGTTAGCAGCATCGGTCCCACTCGTGGTTGCTCGCAGAACTCACACACTCGTGACGGCCCCAGCAGGGGAGCAGCGCACGCCATTCCAGAGGTCTGTGAGGCTGGCATCGGGAGTGCCGAGGGGGCAGGAAGAGGTGGCGACCCAGGTGGAGTCGGTCACTCCCAGAGATGACTTGACCTTCAATAAAGCCGTTGCTGAGAGAAGAATGTGGTGGTGAGGAGGAGGTGGAGGAGGATTTGAGTGGAGAGGGGGGAGGAGAGGGGTGTGTGCATAGAGGCTCATAGCAATGCAAGTTAAGTTGGACCCTAACGTTTTTTTAACAACGTTAGCGTTAGTGAACACGTTAACTAACGTGTTACACCAATGAACGTGAACGAACGCCCATGACTTACGTCGGGCAGGTAAAAAAAAAAAAAAACGTCAACAAGGATTCAGCACCCTCTCTCATGCTTCAGTGGTTAAACAACGGAAAATATTGACTGAAAGAGAAGGATGCATGCAGAAAGGGAAGGTATGGATGTATTTATCAACGGAGAAGTGGAGGAAAGAGTGTGTAGTGCACAGCACAGGAAGGGTGGAAACGTCAGTAGAGACTGAGGCTGAAAAATACCACGAAAATTACTAGGAGTAAGTAAGCACTGATACACCCAATGTTCTTTTCTGGGCAGCCTAAGAAAATTCTGTGGCTGCCCAAAAACGATAGTCTAAATACTGTCAACCATGCGTAAACGTTCGTAAACGTAAATCGACGTCAGCGTTAAATGCAACTTAGATTGAAAGTGCATGTAGAAAGGCAAGGGAGATGGGAGGGGGGGGAGTGTGCTGATTTGGGGTAGGATGGTAAGGTAAGAGCGTGTGTTTCTAGAAGAGAAGGCTCACCTGAGGCAGTATCCATTGTGACCACAGGCGAACCTGTACAGCCACACAAGAGGGTACAGCCACACACAGGTTCACAGTCCAGGGGAAACACAGACGCAGAGATCGACAAAGGCAGAGATAGACGGAAGAGGTGAGGGAATATAGCAGTCCAGAAGAAGAATTACCAAGACAGTAATACAGCCACAGCCCGTGCGCCCTGAGTGCAACAGCTTTCTATCGCATCGCATCCATCAAGTAGTGACTCCAGAAGAGAGGAGAGCACAGCAGAGCAGAGCAGGTAATCATGGGTCCGTTGCATTGCATGGTCCTTGCCTACACGCGACTTTGACATGCCTATGAGCACATGCCACACCACACTCACCGAAACACTTCATGGGGACCATGGGCAGAGAGGGGGAGTTCACAGTCCCCGCACTGACTGCACCAGCACTGTCAGGGCCGCACAGCCCACCATAGCAGAGCTCCCCCTGGCCGTCGGCAGACCCGCAGATGGCACAGGCGGAGGCAGGGCGCTGCAGCAGACCGGAGGAGCGGCAGTAGGAGGAGAGGAAGCAGTTGTGGTCTGCTGAACAGCTTTTGAGAGAGAGCTGGGGGAAAGAGCCCGAGAGGAAGTTAAAGCCCACGTCCAGAGCAACCAGAGTGGTTGAGGGGATGGGCACGGTGCCCGTGAGGTAGTTGGAGAAGAGGCCTCTGGGGGGGTTGGGGGGGGGGGGGGGGACGACGAACACAATGTGAGTGAGAAGATAGAAATCAAGGAGAAAGAGACGAGTAATCGAGGTGCAACAAGTCAGCAACGAGGCTCGTGCAAGCAAGCATGGATCGTTGAAGCTGTGTGTGCTGCTTACAGCGTGGTGAGATTCAGCAACGAGGCGATGAGGGAGGGAATGGATCCCGCAAACCAGTTGTAGTGGAAAAACCTGGAGGGGGGAAAGGATGTGGAATTACAGGAAGGTTAAGGGATGAGCATCACGAACACTGCCGTTCGCCGAACCAAAAACAAGTGTTCGGCGTTCGCCGTGGAGGCAAACGCCTTGCTGCCACGGGCGAACACAAATGTGTTCGTCTAATCGCACGGAGTAATGGCCGCACCTCCTTGAGCATGGACCCCTCCAAGCCTTAAACGCTAGCTAACAACCCTATACTTCAAGAAATTTATGGACACTCCGTTCTAGTAGTAGGTAATGTCCATGTAATGACTCTAAGAAGTTGTGTTGCGTCTCTTGAAACTCTAAGGTAATGGCGGTTGTGGGAGGTAAGGGGCTGGCGCTAAGGTCGCTATGAGTTTATGTTAAAAAAATGAGCTCAAACTCAAAGGGCCGCGACCTAAATGTGGTTGGGGCCCAATTTGACAACGAACACCAAAGTGTTCATTGTAGGCCCCCGTCAAACACGAACATGTTCGTGTTCGACGCGCCTCGGCCAGCTGAGCTGGGCGAACGGCGAACGTGTTCGGGCGAACACCGAACACGTTTGCCTCGAAAATTTTAGGCCAAAAAAAAGTCCTGTTCGGTTCGCCTCGAACGTGAGTTCGTTTTCTTGCTCATCCCTAGGAAGGGTGAGGGGACATGAAAGGTAAACCAAAGGGGAAATTACCTGTTACTAAGGAAAATGAATCAGGAAGCATTCCATGCCCTCATATACGACAGGCTGGAAGAATATGAAGTATGGAACTCACAGTGCCTTGAGGCTGGGCACATCCTTAAGTGGCGCGGAGAACGAGTCAAGGCGGCCTTGGAAGAGGTTGTAGCCAAAGTCACTAGGGCGGGCGGCAAGGGTAGATTGGAAATAGGAGCGATTTGGGAGAATAGGTTTTTGTGCTTTAAAATGAAGTATGTTTAAAATCCAGAGATTATGCATGAAGAGCTTACCAGCAGACCTGAAAACGAGACTACCTTAGCAATAAAACATGCTCTTTCTTACACGCAGCTCTGCCCATTCGAGCCTTACAGGTAAGTGAGCGTGGTGAGCTTGGAGATGTTTGCATGAATAGACCCCTTAAGACCCTGACGTGGCAACGAGCTGAAAGGATTGATGGGAGAGGCAGGGAGGTTATTTTCAGGGCTGGGAAATCTGCAATGCAAACAGATTTAGAGATTCTCAGCGTTGTAACAGCGTGCTCACGTAGAAGGTTAGAATGGCAACAGATATTTGAAAGCATCTGAAAGCAATTGAAGGTTGCCGATTGCTATATTGAAGCATGCATGGTTGAAGCATGGGTGCTCACATGGAAAGCACGTCCCCGGTATCACCACAGAGCACGCCTGACCACGTGGTCTGTGTGGCAGCCTGCTTGCCAACCACTTGGCACGGCACACTTGCTGCCCACGAGGTGAACGTCACTCCCAGCGATGCCTTGAGGTTCAGCAGTGCTGGCGAAGGGGAGCGCACGGAGGGGGGAGGGGCAAGGGGGTGGGAGGGGGAGGGGGGGTGAGGAGGAGGGCGGGTGGGGGGGGGGGGGGGGGGGGGGGGGGAGAGGGGGGGGGGGGGGGGGATGGGGTTGAAAGAAATAGACTAGCAGGGACTGCGTGAAAATTTGGAAGGGGGGAAAATAAGTACCAGGTTTAGGAAAGTGTGGAACGAAAGACATTGGAAAAACATCAAAAGGAGAAACCACCAAAAAATGAAGTACGGCTGATGGATGGTGGATGGATGACAAAACAAGCCAACGACCAGCCTCCATCCACACACCTGCAGCGCTGGTAGATGGCACGCCAATTAGAGGACCGCCTGCACAGTAGGTCACAGGAAGGTTTTGGCCCATACAGAGGGTAGGTGGGTGAGTGAATCGCGATCATCATCATCATCATCATCATCATCATCATCATCATCATCATCATCACCATCTGTCAGAACTTGAGCCTAAAATCGATACAATAGTATTGAAAGCTTGAAGCTCCTTAAGTACATCCAGAATGAGGTACGTACGGATGGGGAGGGAATCGGGGGCAATCCCTAGGGATTGAGGGTCATCCCAAGGCAATCTCCAATTTCTTGGTTAACGATGGCTTGGAGATCACATTTGGGTTTGGTTGTGACATGGGTGTACACCCAACCGAACACAGAGTGCAAACTACACTAGACTATGATATAAAAAGTACAAGTACAAAAGTGAGATTGAGGGCTAACATCATCATCATCATCATTAACGGCAGCAGCAGCAAAAAAGGAAAAAAAGAAGTGGGGAAATATATTGACAGAACTCAACACACATATTCAATCATGCAAAAATCTCATTCCCAGGCACACCACTCCTGCTGCACCAACGCTGAGGTGAGGTGGCTAAGTAGAGTGTGAAATACACGCAGAGGGTTAAGGCATAATACCCGAGCAGAGCATGGCTGGGACAGGCTGGAGTGATCATGTATTTACTGTGCCGGCTGCAATGTTAGCAGCAGCAACGACCACGCACTCCCCACCGGCACCCCAGCACAAGGGAGCGGCGGCATTTGTAGTGCCGCAGATGGCGCACTCAGCAGCAGTTCGTTGGATGGTCCCGGCAGAGGAGCACTTAGAGGGAATAGAGAGGCAGTTAGACGAGCCAGCGCAGTAGGCGAGTGAGTGGGTGCCGATGTTCGAGACGTAGTTGGTTTGGAAAATGAGGGACTTCAAGGCTGTACCCATGGCTGGGATGCTACCAGTGAGGAAGTTGGAATTGAGCCATCTGAGGAGATGAGAGTGGGGGGGAGAAAAGGGTATGTGGCAATCGATTGTGTTGTGTGTGAGGGAAGGGGAGACTAAAAGCACAGTTGAGGAAAGGGAAAGGGTCTGAAAGCCTTCCATTGAAAAATATAGTACGACGCTACTTACAGTTCGGTGAGTGCTGGAAGATTCACGAGGTACGAAGGGACTGAGCCGTACAGATAGTTGTAATTCAGATATCTGCCAAGTGCATGGCAGGAGCGTTGGGGCCCATATTAATGACAATTACTCAGGCTGATGAACCGCAAGTTGCCGTGGTCAAATATGCTCCTGCGGACACTCGGATTTGACCAACACTTATTCCTGATGTGTCACAGTTCTGATGGAGAAAGATTCGCTCCGTCCAGTGAAGTGCATGCCCCCACCCATAGATCCCTTCAAGTATGTGGCAAGGCTACTGTGTGTTGAGATGTGAAAACAATATGCCAGGACATGAAAGTGCCTTTACAGTGAAGTCATTTGTGCTCCTCTTGCAGCCAAGTGTATGGATTATTACCCTTTCAATGGCCATATTGTTCAATTTACAGTACTCAACTTTCAGGCTCGCAAGCTAATGACTGACCACATCCTCTTGACTGCTTATAAGCTCCTGACTGCTCACAGGGTCTGTAGAGCAGTACACCCCTTGAGGCTAAAGGCGAAGTCTTCCAAGCGGCCAGCAAAACAATTACGTGAAAGCACTCTGATTGAGGGCAGGCAGATGGAAATACGGGGAGTACATGCATGACGTGGCATGACAGCACATGGCATGACGTGGCATGATATAAGAGCACGTGGCATGGCAGCAGAAGGCAGCAGAGGCATTGGTACAGCACGCAGAGATGCTTCCATGTTTGTGGAAGTCTGAGAGGGAGAAAGGGGAACTGACAGTTGTGTGAGGCCAGTGAGCTTGGACATGTCAGCAGGCAGGCTGGAACCCTTCAGTGCCATTGCGATTAAGCCTCTGCAGGCATTTGAATGTACAATGGGTGGGGAGCAATGGAGTGATTGTAACCAAATGCAGGGAAATGGGCCCACGCATGAAGTGCAAAGAGTGTGATTCGTCCCATTGGTGGTGATATACCCCAGTTTTATGACAAGACTGCTTCTGGAGCGTTGCTGATATGAGAGATTGGTATTGCTGCTTCCAGCAGTGGACATGTAAACAGGAGCCTAGAGGGACATGCAGAGCAGAGAGACTCAAGTATGTGATTGCTCCACAAAAGTTGAAACATTTGCGAAGTTAGAATCGTTCACGAAATCACATCTTGTTAACTGCGCCATCCATGGAGCATTGAACATTAGACCACAAGGTGACTCCCCCCGGCAGACTTCCACCGACCACAAGGCAAAGAGAGGAGGAGACCCAATTCGTGAACGTCACACCCAGGGATGTCATGGATAGCAACGCGGGCACTGGATGGAGGGAATGGGGAGTAAAGGAGAAAGGTGGAATAGGATGGAACAAGCACGATTGGAAAAGGGTAGAGAGAGAGGGCGTTGTAGACCTATGCAGGGGTGTATGATATTAACCAGTTGCTGGGTGCAGGGAATGAGTGAGAGTGCAGGAAGAGAGTGTTGAGGGAGACAGGTGCAGGAAGAGAGTGCGAGGGGCATGGGTGTTGGTGTTAAGAGGCCCACCTGAGGCAGCATTCATGAGGACCGTGGGAGAAACTCCTGGCGTGTCAGAAAAGTGTCAGACAGAATCAGGCACCACGGAAAAGTGTCAGAGGCACGAATCAGCATCACAATCGGTCAGACAGAATTCGACATGTGACAAGCACCCTGACAACACGGTTGAAATGCATACAAGTGTCCTTTGTACTCTAATTTGTTACCGTGCCTCCAATCCCCTGTGCCACGCAACACTCAACACGCACCCGGACAAGTCAAGGACACTGGCGGCAGTGAGGGGACGTTAACAATCCCCTGGCTGACTGGATAAGAGCTGTTTGCGAAGCAAACTCCACCACCGCACAGCGTTCCCTGCCCGTTGGTCGTGCCGCAGATGGTGCAGGCAGTGGCGGGGCGCTGCAGTGTGCCGTGGGTGCGGCAGTAGGAGGAGTTGACGAAGCAGTTCTGGTCGGCCGAACAACTCTTGAGAGAGAGCTGGGGGAAGGAGCCCGAGAGGAAGTTAAAGCTCACGTCCAGAGTGACCAGGGAGGTAGGGAGGGCGGGTATGGTGCCCGTGAGGTAGTTGGAGGAGAGGCCTCTGGGGGGGGGAGGGGTGTTGGGGGAGATGGAGAGGCGGGCACAGGAAACAGAAGAAGCAGCAGCACAGATAGAGAGGCATGAGAGTCAGATGAAAGTGAGATGTGAGAGAGAACAAGGTAAGTCCAGAAAGGCCTGCGACGAGGCTCCTGCATGAATGTGCGGATCCCAGAAGCTGTGTGATTGGCTTACAGGGTGGTAAGCTGTGGCAGGGAGGCGATGAAGGAGGGGATCGTTCCCATGAACCAGTTGTTGTTGAAGAAGCTGGGGGGTAGAAGCAGGAATGCAACGGAAGAGAAGAGAATGAGGGGATGGAATTGAAGAAGGCATTCACTTCCAAGGCCAGAGGCCATCGCGAAATGCATTTTGAGAACGGCCTTAGAAAGGGCTACTGAAGGTTTTTCTCGACTTGGCTCTGCAAAAGTTTGCACTACAGAATAGCAATGACAGGAACAGTTTGATTGCTGTTATAGAGGAGAAGGTACTTACAGCGCCTGTAGAGTGGTCATGCCTTGGATTGTTGTGGTAAACCCGTCAAGGCTATACGGAAAAAGGTTGTAGCCAAAATCCCTAAAGCAGGTGGGGGAGAGACAAAAATGTGAAGCACATATCTGGAAGGGAAGGGTTGTGCTGGAGGCAGGTCGCAGGATGGATTACAGAGAAAGACACTACATACTAGTAAGGCCATTTTCCGTGCCACCTTCACATCAGCAGCATGGCTCACCTATCAATTGCAGATGCACGCACGCATGCATGCATGCATGCATAATCACTTCTCTGGGGGGCAAAGCGTTCACCATGGACACATGATGAGAGAGAAGAATCAGTCTGCTCATGAGAGAGAAGAATTAGTCTACTCATGAGAAAGAAGAATTAATCATGTCCCTCCTCATCATCCCCCCGTGCCCAACCCAACCGACTGGTCATGGGCCAGCCGCCAGCAGCAGCAGGGTGGTCTTCAATTGCAGAACCAGAAGCTTCCTTTCCCTGGTGTGTGGCACACGGGCACTGAACTTGTTCCCCTTGCAATGCAGTCAGCCTCTCTGTGTGTACGTGTGTCACAAATTCGCCCTTACAGGTAAGTGAGCGCGGTGAGCTGGGAGATGCCCCAATGGATATACCCCGTTAGATTCTGACGCGCCACCGAGCTAGGAGGGGGTGATGGGAAGAGGCAGAGGGATGGGTGTACAAGGAGTTGATGGAGGCCGGCTAGTTACCTGTCTGAACCCCTCCCTCCCTCCCACAAAGCATTAGCATGGATGCATGGGTGCTCACATGGAAAGCACGTCCCCTGTCTCGCTACAGAGCACGCCGGACCACGTGGTCTGTGTGGCAGCCTGCTTGCCAACCACTTGGCACGGCACAGTTGCTGCCCACGAGGTGAACGTCACTCCCAGCGATGCCTTGAGGTTCAGCAGTGCTGGCGAAGGGGGAAAGAGGGGAGAGTGGAGAGTCAAGAGAGGCGAGGACATGCAGCACAAGGAAGAAAGGGGTGGAAAGTGGGGCACTGGAATCAAACATTGGGAGGAACACAGCACACAATGAACCTGGATGGGGCATGGCATGGATACTTCGTGTGATTGGGACAAGACAGGGCACAACGCACACCCACCTTCAGCACTGACAGGTGACAAGGCAGTTAGCGGACCGCCTGCAGGAGTAAAGCGAAGGGGGTTTGGGCGACATAGAAGATAGGCAGGTGAGTGCATTATCATCATCATAAGCAGCAGCAGCAGCAGTGGCGGCGGTGGCGGCCGCGGCGGCGGCAGCAGCAGCAGCAGCAGAAGTAGGAAGGACAGAAGGGTGCACGAGTAAGGAAACCAATACGACACGCACACCATTCAAAAGGGAAGGGTTTTTGAATTCCCTGAT